TTACTGCTGGAGCAAACCGCTTGGACGTTGATCACGCTACTGTTGGCCGGGGGGGGTTGTGTGTGGGGGGGGGGGGAGTTTTCTCTCCTCTACCGGACCCTCAGCGCCGGCGAGGAGCTGGCCATAACTCACCAGGAGGCTGCCTCCTGGGTAAACAGCAGGAAGGGGTAATAACTCATCCACAGCGAGCACAAACCGCGTTTCCTCTATAACCCGGGCCGACTTCCCCTTTGCTGTATCTGACCATTAACACACACACACACACACACACACTCCATCGACTTTACTCACATGGCCACAATGCATACATCTAGGCCTGCGGAGAGACAATGGACGTTAAATTGTCATATAATAATAATAATGTAAAAAGAAGGTCCGTTGTGTCACTTTTCACCTCCTTCAACTCTTGCTCAGAAGTAAAGACATTCTAGCGGACTTGTTCAAACTCACTGGGATGTACTTTAAGATCCCTCCCGCCCCGCCGGATACTACTTGTGCACGCACGCGTGGGCGGGACTGCGGTCGTATGCGACTTTCCCAGCAAACCGTGTGTGTGCGCGCGCGATAAACGCCGGTGGCCCAATCGGTCGCCATCTAGCCGTATTAATATCTAAATCGGCAGAATCAGCCGTGTGCGAGTCATCCTGCTGATGCGGTCGCGCTCCTCTTCCCCCGCTTACTGTTCACTTTTTACGACTCTTGACGCTCTTCAGCGGAAAAGGCCGCTTTAAAAAAAAAAAAGAATCCTCCCTGGAGATAATCATCGACGAACGCCAAAATTTCCCAACATGCGGCTTTATCGTACAAGAGATCCGGAATGAGTAATACGTGGTGTTAATTTTAATTAAATTAAATCAATGACGATGCTTGTTAAAGGAGGCGAGAGAGCGGGACGAGGGGAGGGGAGGAAAGGGGAGGAACGCGGTGGGAGGTTGAACGAGTGAGAAAAGATTGAGGGGGGAGGGGGGGGGAGAAATGCATTCACACCTATCACCTAATTATAAAACAACATTAATCCCATTAGGGCTGGAACTGATTGCCAGGGTCCGGACCCCAGCTGCCGCCGCCGCCGCCGCCGCCGCCGCCTGGGCCTGTTGTTATTGCGGCGGAGCCTCGGCACCCGCCTGCTCCGTCCTGATAACAACTCTAATCACGCCTGCCCATCTCTATCTGCACCGGAGATCAGGCCCCGCGGCTTATCAAAAGTTCACATCTCGCTAAAAGCAGAACAAAGAACAAAACACACACACACACACACAAAAGGGAAAGCCACCAGGGCGCTGCATGAGTCTCGCATGTGTGTGTGTGTGTTGTGTGTGTGCTTGGAATGTCGACATGCTTGAGTGTTTTATGTCACTTTGGCTCACAAAGAATGAATTAATCCCTCGATTGTGCGTCTGTGTAACAATCGCGCAACACGAGCCGCGTCGGACGCGGTCAGAGTGGCGGGTTTCCTCGTCCGGGCTCTGCAGGCGTTTTGCACGCCGACCTCTGACCTCCGGCACTGATGTCATAGGAGCCCCGGTTCCGTCGCTCTCTGTGGGCCCAATCCGTAGTGTTGATCTGCAGCCTGTTATCCATCTACCATCAGTGGGCCTCCAGATCAGCCCCAAACATCTTTAACAGACGAGTGGGGGGGGGCAGATCCGGCTGGGCTGCCATTAAAAACACACGACTCGTTCATCAGGCAGCTATGTTTTCCACACAATCTACTTTTTCTCTCCTCCCTCATATCGCTGTCCCCCTGTTCATCTCTTCTTTTAATTATCCGGAGATCCTCCCCCAGCCAATCACAAACAAAACAACAGCGCAACAATGCTGGGAAAATGGCGTGCACCAGCCAGATGTAATTACAACGTGGCCTCCATCTCGCCCCCCCCTTTCTTTCTCCTGCGTTTTTCCCGCCGTATCAGCTGCAGCGATCGCCGCCAAGTTTTATCACGTCTCCCATCTCAACCGCCAGAACATAAGCCCAGGGATCCAGCCTCGGCCCGTCTGCTATCGCCCCATCGAGGAGGGGAGCCTTATCAGGCTGAAAAGATCGCTAACCGTTGGGGGAGGATGACGCACAAAGGGACACAGACAAATATCCATCTGCTGCGCCGACACACACTTTTTCGACCCACAGAAGGCCCCGGACCTAATCCACGGTTGCTAGGGGGAGATCCACGGTGTGTGTGTGTGTGTGTCAGTAGTTTTACCAAAGTTGTTTCGGGTCAGAGAAGTGGGGTGAAATGTTTTGGTCAGCAGAATCACAAACCAAGAACCGGTCAACAGCGTTAGCATTTTAACCCCGCGTTGGGTGTCATCCTTCGGCGCGTGATGGTTGCCGATACACAGCGGTGCAGACGGGCGTTTGGTAAACACTCGGCCCTTATCACCCGTTTGCCTTGGTGATGAAGTGGAGGTTACGGAGGTAGCCTTCACTTTATCATAGGGATGTTACTCTCCCCCCTCCCCCCAAAAAATAAAGTTGAAGTGAATGAGAACAAATAACTTGTTTGTATATTTTCAATAGATTCGAAGCCAGTTAACACAGCCTGCAATTGCTAAGCTAACACCGCTGTTTCGCTCGCCGAGCATCAGCAACAAGTGAGTTCACATGTAAAGGAAATGAATAACACGCTACCTGGGTTTCTCGAAGACGTTTACTCGTTTCTCTTTAAAAAGCATAATCCACAGCTGGACTCAGACACCTATCGGACCGGGTGTCAGACACACAGCCAGAGGGCCCCACCAAAGGTTCTGGCCCCATAGGACCGTATGTGAGAAGCCTGAGGTCCGTTTGATGGATGCACTGCCATAGATCCCACATGCTGCGTGGCACACCACTGTTAAACGTAGGCTGCTAGGAGTCTCTTTTTAAAGAGCGCACGCAGCAGGGGGGGGAAGGGCGTAGTGGACCAGGAGCACCGGTCCCTCTCGTGCATTTGTCTAGCCTGGGTTCATGAGGGGTCGGGGTCTGGGATGCATCTCCAGGCTGGCTTTACTGTACGCGCCTGCTGGGAGTTGCACCGATGACAGGCCTCCGGAAACAAGAGTGACAGACTGCAGACTACCTGCAGAAGACCTCATCAACCAGAGACCCTTAACGCCAACCCAGCGGATACAGCTCGATAGCGGGCGTCAAAGAAGCGCTTACGAGCCTCAACATGAGGAAGAAAGTGAGCACCTAAAAATAACTTATCTACGTCAAAAAAAACTCATCCGTAGCTGCAAGGGGATAAAAAAAACAACAACATGACGAGTTATGGACAGCGGCCATTGCTGCAGATCGAATGGGTGTGGGTGACAACCTTGAAGAACGACATCAGGTTACTGGCTAACTGAAGTAGCTGCTGATAGACAGCACTGCAGGTTAAGATTCCTCAATCTACTTGATTGATTTCGCGCTTTAGGAATCGTAACAGTGGCGCTCGTTTGCTCGTAACAGGACCATCTTGCAGAACAAAATGTGTCAGAATGACGAGATTCGTTTGGCCACAGAGAAGGAAATCCCGTTGGCGCGGTGGGGACCCCAACTTTTCAGGTGGGCCTTTGAATGTGCATCATCCACGCAGCTTCTGCCGGGAACCGAGATCAAGTGTCTCTCCGAGCAACGGCTCCTCCGGACGCGCTGCCTGCGATCGAGGAATAACAACACAGAAAGCGAGACGTCGGGATGTTCGGAGAAACAAGCCTTCTCGCCCACGCGACCTCTTGGGCCTTACGAAAGAGGTTTGATCGGCAAGCAGAAGATACACCAACCGCAGAACAGAACTACGGCACTCGATCGGGTTCGCTTGGTCCAGAAATGTCCACTTGTTGATGTCATTTGTAACGCTATTCGTGGACGGTGATACTTTGCGGCCTTTCAAGCGTTACCGGCTTTCTGCGAACACAATAGCGGACGACAACATATTATTTTATTATTTGCTCAAAGCGATAAACTGACCAAACAAGCGTCATGTTTCCATTTCAACTGCAGCTTGCAGAATAGATACATAGATTTTTTTTAATCTGCAGACCGCTACAATTAAAAATCGAACTTTGGCCGTTTCTCAGGCCCGAGCGCAACACGCCAGAGGAGAGTCTAATCACAACGTCATCAATATGCTTCTATATCAACTTTGAATGATCAGCGATAAACCTTCACACGTTTTTATGAACAGGAAGAGCTCGTCAAGCACGGAGAGCATGCGAGAAAAAGAAGAAGAAGAAAAAAAAGGCCTTTCAGGCGGCCCCAAGATGCATTATTGAGTTAAAGGGATAGCTGGGGGGAAAAAAAAGAAGAGGAGATCCAATTGTAAGCAGCTATCAGCAGGGGAGATCAGCCAGGCGGGCCAATCTGACGCCCCATCTCCGGGGGGAGTAGAAGTGAAAAAGCCAGGGGGGGGGGAAATGCAACGGCGGCCTCGGAGAGAAAACAAATAAAAAATAAAAAAAAAGAGATCCAATTTTAATCTTTATCCGGGCTCACATCGGATCGCCGCCCTATCTCTGCCCACATCACCCCTCCTTTTGCAGAGAACACTGACGTTTCCACGGCAGAATTCAACAGGAAGCCGCAGCTGCGGCTCAAGCTGCTGGCGGACAAAGCATTCCCCACCCGGCTAATAGACGACAACTTTTTTTTTTTATTATTATTATTATTTCAACAGATAGCGACTTCCAGACGCCGTTTGCGCACCGCGGAGTCTGCGTCACTGGGACCCAAGTGCTGGATCCGGACGGCGACTGATCTTGCGCGTTAAGGTCCAATCAGCTGATGTCATCGAAAGCAAACGGCCTTCTTTGCGGGTCCAAGTCGTGTACTGTGCACACGAACGGTGCCATCGCCCTGCAGCGGACGCGGCTGAGTTTCCGTATTAACGTCACTCGTTAACTTTGAAGTGGACGCAACGCACGCGGCGCACGAAACACGCGCCTCCTTCGCGGGGAGCGCGTGGCTCTGCGCGCACTGCAACTAGCAGCAACAACAACAACAACAACATTAGGCGAGGAGCCGGTTTCATCCTTACGCTTTATCTGCCGGGGCTTGCTCTGCTTCCTCCGGGACATGGCGGCTCTTCTCTCCGGAGGAGAAGGGGTCTGCTTCTTCGGGCTCGTGCTCTCGTTCCGCCCCGCAACGCCGCGCGGTTCACTGCCGCGACGCGGCGCTCCGACCAGCGAGCGGAGAGATCCGCATGACCCGCCTGCGCTCTGGTGTCTTCTGCCACGGCAGCTAAGCGCGGGGTCCGCTCGTCGCTCGTCACTGTCCTCCGGTTCCGGTTCGTCGCACGAATACCTTCACCCTCACCCCTTTCTCGCCCGTTTCCCCCCCTGTAAACGTTATTCCTTTCGCCCGGTAAACCGCCCCCGCCGCCGCGTCGCGTCTGTTGGCGGACACGGCGAGCTTATCTTCGGAGGGATATCCTGGCGGGTGAACGCTAGCGGCTGCCCGGCGTCGAGCGCTGCGGCTGCGGGCTGTTTCTGCCAAGTTCGGTCCCGCTGTACCGTCACTAAAACCGGGGAGCCACTTTCCACAGAGCAGCAGCGCTCCAGTCACCGCCGCTTACTAGCGAGCAAGGGGCGCGCGCGCGCCTCTGGGCACGCCCCTTGCGTGTGACGTCAGGGCCGCACTCATCTCCGATTGGATCAACTGTTATGACACGTGGAGCTGGACATTTTTCGATAGAACACAATGAAATAAAATGCTTATTATACCCATAGTTTTACCGCAGGATAATTGAACTATACCTGAAATAAACCATGCCATTGATACATTGATTCATTAGTACATAGTAGTATGTATCTTGTGGCACTGTGGAACTTTAAATCTTTAAATTATAATTCATAAACGCATATCCCTATTGTTTAGGGTGTAAAGTGAAAAATAAGGGATTTGTTCAATGTCAGGTAACTGTTTTTTTTTTCTTAAGAAAACCTTGGAACGCACACATTTCAGGCCACTGTGTCACCCCAAATAACTTGGTATCATTATTATTAAAATGTCCCATTTAATCAAGAAAAAAGCACATGATATTGTTCTGCATGCTTTCGTTGTACTGTTCCTGTTGAGATGTGATACAGACATGAGATTATCCAGGATTTCCTTTAGGGCTGACGACAAACTGTTCTAGTTTCCTGCTTGAATGACTCAGATTGAAGTTATTGCTTTAGGTACTGCTCAAAGTGTAACAGTACCCTTGAGCTATGCTTTATATTAAGGCTTTGATGGGAACACACACTATGAACACTGCTTTATAAACGGCAGGGGAAATAAAGTGTGTCGTGTTCTCGTCGTTGATTCGTCACATACTTTAGTAAGACAATATCTCATATGTATTTTGCAAAGGATCGAACCACCACATCAGTGAACTATAACTAAAGAAACCTGGCTGAAAACATGACATTTCATTTTTTTCAAGGAGTCAAGCCAAAGGGTCACACATATTGCTCTGTCAAATAAGCTCTTACATTGTTAATGGACTGCACATGTGTAGTGTCTTTCTAGTCTCGCGGCCCCTCAAATGATTTAACAGGCTTCACAGTGCCATCTGGCCATCGGTAACTAGCAATCGCATCCTTCACGCACCTTCGTCACAGCTTAAGAAGCATTGTTAGGGGTTACGTGTCTTGCCCAAGGACACACGGACATGTGGGTCAGCTGGACCTGGAATCCATCCGCCAATCCACTAATTGGAGGACAACCGTGCTCTCTGCTCACCCAAAAACAAAACACCCAGAGGAGATGGATGCTGGCTCCTCACCAGCTAACATCACTTGTGCCATCTAGTGGCCATCTTTCAAATCACAAAAGTGCCTCACAGAGGGCTTATTGGTCAGACAAATCCCATGCTCGGTGCACCTAAACAGGGCAGTGCCACACCGGCAGGGTTGAGATGATTTAAGATTGGGAGGAGATTCATCTTTTGAGGATAATTAACCAAGTTTAGTTAATGGCAATGGTGACTTGCAGCCTTCACACCCATGCATGTTCAGAGGAAAAGCAAACCTGAGGTGTCTTAGTAAAAAGTTCTCCTCTAGAGCAGTGTCAGTGCTCCTCGTCATATACAGTGCATTGCATAGGAATCCAACCCCCTCAGACTTCACTACATTTTGTGATGGTATAACCAGGTTCAAATGGATTTCATTGGGATTTTATGTAATGGACCAACGCAAAATAGTCCATCATCTGGAAGTTGGGGGAAAGTTTATGTGGATTTCAAAATGATGTGCAAAAAAATGTGTTGAGTTCAACACTGATTAGTAAATGCAAATTTAATTTCAGTATAAATACACATGTTCTGTGAAGGCCTCAGTTTGTAAGAAAGCATTACTGAATAAGGAGCGTCATGAAGACCAAGGAGCACAACAAACAGCTCAGGGATAAAGTTGTAGCGAAGTACGGAGCAGGTTTAGGTTATAAAAAAATAGCCCAAGCTTTGAACATTTCACAAAGTATTATAAAATCCATCGTCAAGTAATGGAAAGAACATGGCACAACCACAAACCTACCAAGAAAAGGTCGTCCACCTAAACTGACCATCCGGACAAGGAGAAGATGAATCAGAGAAACAACCAAGAGGCCCATGGGAACTCTGGACGGGATGCAAAGATCCACCGCTGGGGATCTAAGAAATCCTGTTTGGAGTTTGGCATCAGCCGTGTGGGAGACCCAGCAAACACGTGGAAGAAGCGGTGTGCTTCTCTTCAGCATCTCCAGGGAAACTGTGAGGGGAAGATGGATGGAGCCAAATACGGAGCAATCCTTGAAGAACACATGATGCAGTCTGCAGAAGACTTGAGACCGTTTGGACCGAAGCGTCACTTTCAGACCTGTATGAAAGCATCTGTATGCATTAAGTGCTCATTTATACACATTTTCTTTCATTTGGTTACACACCACGAATCAGTCCGGCTATATTTCAAATTTTAAGCGAGTGTCACTGTGTGTGTCCTGTCATCAGTGTGTATATATGGGTATGAATGATGACGTGAAGGGTTGAGGAGCTTTGAGTGGTCTGAAGACCAGACAAGAGAAATGCAGGTTTTTCCCAACACAAGTACAGTCCAAATATCATTTTACTGTTCTGTTGCATGCAGTTTGCAATCATTTGGGACACTCTACCACACTCAACAATACTGTTATTGCAATGCACATTCCAGTCCCTTGACTTCAATTATTGTGATTGTATGAAGTTGAATGGACCTTTATGGATTTGATAGGTTCATTAAAGTAAAAAAAAAAAAGAGGCCAGCATGAACATTGTTACAACATTACAAACAACGCACACAGAAAAATACACCTGTAACACATTACATGGGTTAAACAAAAGACAAAGTGTATTATAATAATAATATTAGTAATAGTGTCAGGGTCATAGCTTCGTCACAGCAGCAGCGTCGTGGAATATTTGTTTCATAGATCAGTAATAGTATCTGAATGCTCGTAAGTAAATCTACCTCATAGCCGAACGAGGTTGAATTCAAGATTCAATATATTTATTATCATGTTTCCAGTTAACGCGTCACTCTGTACAATGAAATCCTTACAGTGTTGCCAAACCTGATCACTGCCATTGAAGATTGACAGGGTCTGCTCACTGTTTCATCGAGCCGGTGTGTAAGAGGTAAGAGGACCCCCCCGGCCACTGTTCTCCAGCTACCTCCTCCGTCTCCTCAGCTGTCATCTCAGATGACTTCCAGGAACCTCGGTGTGACACCCGACAGTCCACTTTCCCTCACTGCCAACAATCATAGAAACAACACGATCCTGTGTGTACAGATGCTGCACAACGTCAGGAGAATACGTCCCCTTTCTCACCCAGAAGGCGCCTCAGGCTGCGGTCATCTCGCACCGTGGCTACTGTAACTCCCTCTCAGCAGGTCTACCCGATAGTGCCATTCAACCTCTGCGGCTCATCCAGAAGGCAGCAGCTCGACTGAATTCACCCACACGACTCCGCTCCCTTCACTCGTTGGCCGTAGTTGCCCACATTCGTTTCAGAACATTGGGCCTCATTCAGAATCAGCTTTTATTTATTCAGCAATTGGCCAATATCTTCACCAATGAGTTATTTGTTACATTTGTTCTTAAGAAAGTTCCTAAGAAAAGTCCCTAAACAGCGGAATTGTTCGCAGTCTTTGAATGATGAATGTCAGAAATTGAAAGCTCGTGCCCCGTTGCTCCTGTTTAGCATAGGTTAACGCGCCGTTAATTCCCATTAAAGGGCATGAGATGGCCGGGCCGTGTGCACACTCAGAGAAATGTCAGAAAGACTGTGGAGGCCTCGACTCCAAGAAAAAAGAAACACTTCAGTGAGATATTGCTGCAAGAAGTAGGCACAAAACTCAACATAGTATTTAGTAGCGTCAGCCGTGGCTACAAAGCGGTAAATAAAACCGATGCAGGGAATGCAATTACCTATGCAGTGAATGCATCCGGACACATAATTGTGTGTAAAATGAAAATAATTAGTTGAAAAAATATAAAGGAGGGCGGCACGGTCGCCTCACAGCAAGAAGGTCCCGGGTTTGACGCCGCCCTGCGGCCTTTCTGTGTGCATGTTCTGCCCGCGTCTGCGTGGGTTCTCTCCAGGTACTCCGGCTTCCTCCCACAGTCCAAAGACCTGCCCTGGGGATCAGGTTAATCCGTAGACGTGTGAATGGTTGTTTGTCTCTGTGTTAGCCCTGTGATTGGCTGGCTCTTGCCCCCCTGCGACCCTGTGCGCAGGATAAGCGGTTTGAAGATGGATGGATGGAATTATAAAGAGAGAAATATTCCATTTTAAAATAAAACAGACGAAAACGGTGTAACTACTTATTTTGTCAGCTCTCAATTGTGTGTAAGAGTGGTCCAGGGTGTGCGTGAATTCTGTTCAAGAACAGATCCCAAATAAGAACATTGGTGAATGCCAGAATCTGTGTGAAAACTGCGTAAGTGGGGATGAAGCACAAATTTGTTCTTGAGAACATTTGGTAAATGAGGCCCATTCGTATTTGGGTACCGTGCAGCGAACAGATCATGTCCAGTCCACATCTACATTAAACCTTACCTTCGTGTCCGCTCACTCCGCTCTGCATCTGTCTGTTGAGTTAAACACTCAACATCATTTTAGTAGCACCGGGCCGAGGCGGTTTTACACTCCTGCACTGTAAAAAAAGTATGTTGATTTTACGGTAATAAACTGTTAAATCACAACGGTAAAAATTAAAAATAGGTCATTTTCTATCACATTGAAATACCGTATATGTATATGTCAGCGAAAACCGTAATTAATGCATCTATTTCTTGTAAGAAATACATTTTCTTACTGTTAATTGTACTAAACAGTGTACCGATAACGGAAATACACCGTATTATGAAAAACACCCTGTACCATAATTTTTACATTTATAACTTAAAAAATATATAATCTGTCCCTGTTAAATGTACGGACTACTGTGCTGGCAACCCAAATATAACGTATTTTAAATGTAACAGCCAGCTCCCCCAGTGTTTGTTTGCTTTGCCTGTGTTTCCCCTGTCTCTGTGTTTGCCTGAGTTTCCCCTGCCTGACGGCAATCAGCCATCGGGGGACTCTCCTACATCAACCCGGGTCTTCCTGCCATTCAGCGCCACTCGTCAGAGTGGTAACTGTGTATTCATGCCACCTGCTTTTAGACGCTGTCTTTGTTCACCTCGTCCTGTTTTTTGCCACGTTGATGCCTTTGTGCTAAAATGAATCCTCTTTTATCATTCAACCTGACTCTTATTAATTTTGATTAACTATAAAGTGGAATTATATTCAGAGTGTTGGTTTCTTCTAAGTCATTGAAGCTCAGTTAAACGCAAGAAGGCAGTGAATGTGTCTCTGCTCAAGCAGTTCATCAATCTAACTTTGCCTTTGTTTCTGTTTTTGGGCTACAGAGACGATCGTCCCAATCCACCTGGGCCCGGTTTTTCTAAAGGTTTAATCCGGATAAAATTGATCCGGATTTAGTAATCCCATTTTTTGCGATCCGTGATCACGTAATCCATTTTACTTTTGAGCCAGTTTTTCAAAGCAACATCGGATTGGATCAATCTGATCCGGATAGGAACTTCTCAGGATCACCAAATCTGGATAACAGGATGGGAAATCACATGTATAGATATGTAAAGAGCAACAAGTAGAACAGCCAGTGTGGGGTCAATATAAGTTTATTTGAAATGAAAACGCACACATTTAAAAAAAACTAAAAACAAGAAAAAACCCACTCCATCCTCTTCCAGCAGTCCGCTCATCTGAGACCTACAACACAAACACTGTACATTGAGGATATTTATAACAAGTTTCAAATATAGATGTATTGTATTTTAAAATAGACTTAATGTCAAATACTCCACAATAATTTCAGACTTCCTCGTCTGATGTGGGGAGACCAGCTTGTCTGAGCGTAGCCTTTAGGAGGTGGATCTCAAGTCTGGCCTTGGTTTGCTGCAGTTTGGTCAGAGTCAGTTGTTCCTCTGCCAGAACGAGCAAACAGGACGAGCAACAAGGGACGCAATAGTTAGACACTATTTCTGATTTGGATTTGTTTTGGATTTCAAAAATCACTGATTGCCATTCTTTGCATTTTTTTGGTTATTCTGTAATCATTGCATGCATCACTACTAAATATCCTAAAAACAAAAATATTTTCAATTGTGATGAATATATATGATCAATTAGTGACAGAATAAAATGTATTGTTTTTGGTCAATTTTGACAGCTGTTTGGGGGATTATTTTATGAGGCCGAACTCTTTCTACTTTGCTGTAGGCCTATACTGAAAGGCTGAATACGTTAAAGCCTACCTAATCACTGACGGACAAATAAAATTAAAACCTTATGAATAAATAGGATATCTTGTAAGATACTGCGTCATCCAAATATAGTATTATTTGATACATTTTTAAAGTTTTCATTACATTTTGGGCATGAAATCTACGCTGAATCCACCCTTCTGATGGGATCAGTTTAATCCAGATTTTTTGGATCAAAGTGATCCAAATCCTACAAAAAAGTTCTGAAAAACCCAAACTAAAGGTTTGATCCGGATCTAAACCAAGATTGGATTACGTGATCTAATCCGATTATGTAATCCGTTTTTTCTTTTGAAAAATCCATTTTCAAGATTTGAGCCAATCCGTTATCCAAAATCCTAGTGGATTACTTTTGAAAAACCGGGCCCTGATGATACAAGTCCTCAAGCAGAAGGTCCCGACCCGCTCCTGGATGTTGATACCAACAATTTGCAATTTGCTTTGAACTTTGTAATAAAATACCGTAACTCAAAACACAGTACAACTGTACTGTGTTTATCTCTGAGAAATACCTTATTTAGGTTCAGAATAAATGCTGTTATTTAAAAACATACCGTATTGTCTTATACAAATAAAACGGTAATTTACCGTATATTTCACAGATTTCTTTTTACGGTGTATCTGTTTTTTTAATAGTGGTTTTCTCTAAACAAAACTGTTCTCAACTGGGAATTTTACGAGTGCAAAAAAAACATACCGTAATGTCTTTTACGGTGTCACTTTATTTTTTACGGTAAACCTCTGGCAACCACAGCTGCCAGTAATTTACCGTATATTTCACAGATTTTTTGTTGCAGTGTGCCACACAATTCACTTTCCAAGGTCAGCATAGTAAGATAACAAAGGAAGAAACAAAGACATCCATTGAGACGAGTCAAACCCCCGACAGGTGGCCTCTTGGTATCTAACACGGTAGTGAAAGCAAGGTTGGGAATCAGGATGGTCAAACTGTCTGTGCTGCCAACATGTTCCTAGTCTAAACAAGGCAGACGTTCTAAATGTTCTCACCTTCATCAAGCAGAGCCGGCAGCACAAGCTCTCCTCTGTAGCTCACCTTGTTCTGCACCGCGGGCAAATACGTGTAATGTACGCAGCTGTGGCCGGTATTGGCTGGTTGTTAAGCCACGATAGATTGCACACTACTTTCCGGTTACAGACACGGAAGCTTTGTTGAACACCAGGCGGAATTAAAAAAGGCGGAATTTACGCATCCCCTCCCATCTCTTTATGGTAAACTCCCACTTCCTTGACCCTCCTGTGAATCCTTGAGGCTTATAATATATGTAATAATGATTAGTATTAGAATCACAGTTTGTGTCTTATTATATATTACATTAGCATGTTAGACGAATTACTGCAATATGAATTAAACACTATTTGTATTCATTTGTCATATAATTAGTGTATACATAACATCCTGCCACAATGTAACGTTAAAGCCCTACGGGAAGGGTCACATTTTCCTACGGGTAGGACTGCCCCGTGAGACAAATAGTTTGATTTTGGATCATATAAACTGAGTCATACATAATGGTTGACATGTGATGAACTGTGATGATTTAAGATGTATTATGATTAGAGTGTATTACCTATTAGATATCAATATTATGCATGTTATGTTATGTTCACATGGAGAAGCTTTAAGCCAAAGGTGTGATGATTGAATGTATTGTAATATTGAGCCAATAGGGATCTGTAAGGTCAGTGAGGGATTTCAGATGAAACCAGGACAGAGTCATGGAGCAGAGAGGAATTCACGAGGACAACGTGGGAGGAGCTGCGCTTGAATGTGCAGCCAAATACGACCACAATGGACAAACCTCACAATATGCATGCCACGAAAATTCAAATCAAATCAGTTTAGCCATGTACTTTAAGCTCAAAGTAATAATGCATTCATAGGGCAGAGGAGATTCCATCTATCTTCTCTTCTGAATGAAGGACAAAGTGCGAGAAGAATGTCATCCCAGCTGTCTAAATATTCAGGGGTCATACAGCAGTAGGAGTCTGCACTGCAAGTAAATAATAGAAATCTCTATCAATCAACCAATATATATGACAGTAGCAGTTACTGAAACACGTAACCTTACTTTCTACGTCCAACTGCCATAACTGGCCAAAGTGAGTCCGCTTAATGTGAACAGTCTCGCATCTCCTTCTAAATCAAACACAGAAAAACATTATGTGTTGTGTAATCTAAGCTTTCTGTTCACCGCCTCTCAGAAAAAGAACATTGTGTCCGTTTGGTTTAACAACAGAAATCATGTTGAGTTGTTGTGTTATATCCAGAAAAGTTCATTTAATCAAGTGTGTGTCTATGTTGTCTCTGGATTTCCTGTTTTATTTTGAAAGTTTACCTCTCGTTTGTTTCCTGATTGCTTCCACTTGTGCCCTTACCCTGTGCGTCTATATTAGCTGTAGCTGTTATATATATCAACATATCCCAGCATGCATACATACACAAATCTATGACAAACATACACAACGAGCAGCTCACAATATCGGGAGGCTTGTCTGTAGTTATTAGGGAAAAGTCACTTTAATGACCGTTTTATATACAGTTTATACTTCATATTATGAAATGGATCAAAATGAGCTCAGGCAGACAAGTTATGAACCTGAAATCACTTTATAAGTCACAAGTTACAGAATAAATACACAAAGAAACTGAACTTGCTTTGCTCTTATTGTTTTGTTGCGTGATTATGAACTTTACGTTTAGTTGTGTTTTATGGAGCAGGAGGAAGCAGCATCAAACTGAAGGAGAACGATGTGTGTACTGTAGCTCGGACATATTCTGTAATATCTTAAGGTTAAAGTTAAAATAGCTTGTACCCCATGCAATAGAAAAATACTTGCATACAGGTGGTGGGTTTTTTTACAGTATTGATTGAATAAATCCTCTGCCTTGAGATTGCATTACTGCATTTAGATGAAAGTACATGGCCAACGGACTTAATTTGAATTTAAATTCTTCTCTCAGCCTATATGCTCCGGAGGAGAAGCATATCTTCCTCAATTAAATGAAATAAGAAGATTATCTTCTTTGTCTGTAGGTTGTACATTTTTGGGCTTTTACTGTCAAGTGTAGCAGGTTGCTAGGCAACGGGGAGCAGTGGACGTAAAGCTGATGACGCAGACAGGAAGACCCCCCCCCGTAGGCCAGACCGCCCCACTTCAGAGACCGCCCGGTTCAGCCTATGAGGTTGTTGGAGGACCGAGCCCGGGTCTACGGCCCAGGTTATCCAAGATGGCGCCGACGATGGCGCCACGGTGCTTCGCTTTTATACTACTAACCCATAGCATTATTCTTTATTTTATTCCTCTTTATGTCTGACATATTATGGCAATAAATGTTTCCTGATTCCTGACACAGCTATCGTCTTCTCCCTGCTTGTCCTGTGCCAGTTCGTCTTGTTCCGCGTGATAGCGCGTACCCATGTCCCATTGCCAAGTCTTCATGCTACTGTTACATACATTTATTTTTTAACCTTGCCTCTGGTGCATTTGGGTTCAGGGCCATTGTCTGTTCTTGACCTGTTGCGATGTTTGAATTTGGAGAATGCATGAACTTTAGTACCACTCTGCACCTCCCACCACCCCCTCCCTCGGGGGCCGGCACAGGGGGCAGAGGGATTTGTTACTGAAAAGCTCACTGCAGTCCTCTCTGTGCTGTTCTCGAGGCCGGTCAGGATGAGGGCGGCGGCTCAGTTGGTTGCGTTTCTCCTTCCTGTGCTGATAGCGATAGCACAGTCAGCACCAGGTAAGAAAGTGATTTGTTTTACCCCGTGTGACATTCTGATGCTCCGGCCACTATGACAAATGCTCAGCTTCATTGCGAAAAACCGTGATCATAAATATTTCAAGCATAATGAGTCAGGAATCAGGATACTAAACCAACAACCAAGACCTCTTCATCGTCACCACTCATCATGCTATCGGGTTTAACCATCACCAGACAATTAATAGGATGATAATACACAATTACAACTGCAGGTCGCTGTGGTGAGAAGCTAATGCTAGTCCTACCTGAGCTGTTGTTTCCGCTGACTTTCCTGGTGCTACAAAGTCTCTTTGTTCCAAAGTTTCCCCGCTCTTATCGGCTGCCTCTCAGAGTCTTCTGGCAAGCAACGCATAGTTGCAGATTTGTCTTTCCGAAACTCCATCTGCGTGGTCGGTCTAAGATCAGATGTCATTTTCTTTTGACTTTCTTTGAAAAAAAAGACAAAGGAAAGCATGAAGAGAACAAGCAAACACCACAAACATCTTCTGACAGGGATTGGGTGAACTGTTGGGGTTTAAGTAGTTGCTGCACAATTAATTGAATTTTAATCATGGTTTTGGCTGCCACAACTAAATGAGCCTGATTGTCAGCAATATTGACGTATTGAAACGCGAGCTCTGCTGCATATGAAATCAAGCACGTCCTTGACTAACAGTCAGCCAACCACCGCAGGGAGCTAGTCCCCCGAAAAGGATCATCATCCTTTGGCTGGAAATTTTGGGGATTTAGGGCAAATGCTAACCAAGAACAAAACATGTGCGGTTAAAGTCGTGCCTGCGCAAAATGACCACAAACCATATGCACGGCGAACGCATCAAGGCCAAAGCTAGCGCTACCTCACTGAATCTCCGTTAATGTCCAAAGACGTCAACCCGGATAACCAGTTCAAAGGGAGAAAATCCTGTGGACGCCTGGGGAACCACCCGCACTGCAAATCAGAGGAACCACCATTAATGGTAGTGAACGCCAAAGTGCCCTCGCCATTGTCGGGGTGGTTTACCAATTGATACTCCGAGGCTTGTCTGCCTGTCGTCTGTCACCACCACACCCCTCCATCACATATGTCAATGTAAAATAAACATTCCCATGTAACCCAGCACAAACATCAGAATGACCCTTCGACACACAAAAGTCATACTTGTACCTTTAACAGGGAGCGATGACCCTGTGGTCTCTCTGGAAAAGGGCCAAATCAGGGGGCAATACGGGATGGCGAAAGGCACGGGGAGAAGGGTGGCGCAATACCTGGGGCTCCCCTTCTCCCGGCCCCCCATTGGACCCCTCCGCTTTGCTGCTCCCCAGGATACAGAACCCTGGGAGGGGGAGAAAGATTGCACTCGCCAGCCTCCCATGTAAGACCAGGCAAACGCTGAATCATCCATTTAAGTAACATTATTTTCTTTCTGGGTGACCCTGGCTTCATTCTTTCTCTTTCAGGTGCATCCAAGATCCAGAAACGGTTGTTAGCGTTTCTAGGACCATGTCGATGCGATACACCCCACCCGAGGTTTCAGAGGACTGTCTGTATCTGAACATTTACACTCCAGCCGAGGCAACTAAAGGGGACAAATTGCCGGTGGGTTAAACAGACTGTATGTACAGGTGTGGACAAAACAGAATCTCGTCTCGGTAGAAAAGTAATGCAGTAAAACATGTTGTTGTTTGACTGTATGGGATTCTGTACCGTTGTCTACCTCTTTCTTTATCTTGGGTATAGAACCGTTGAGCTTTGATTTGTTTTCAATTGTACCATCCAAGTGTCTAAATGGCATTACAGTTAATAGTAATAATGATGATTGGGGGATTTAAAAAGAGGTAAAGCTAGTACAACCGATATTTAAACACTGCACCTACAAACGGGCTATAACAAGCGTAATTTTGTGATATCCATCCATCCATCCATTGTCAAACCGCTTATCCTGCACACAGGGTTGCGGGGGGGCTGGAGTCCATCCCAGCCAACTTCGGGCGATAGACAGGGTACATCCTGGATTGGTCGCCAGCCAATCGCAGGGCTACACAGAGACATTCAACCATTCACACATCTACGGGCAATTTAAAGTCCCCAATTAACCTGATCCCCAGAGCATGTCTTTGGACTGTGAGAGGAAGCCAGAGAACCCGGAGAGAACCCACGCAGAACATGCAGACTCCACACAGAAAGGCCACTGGGCGGAATCGAACCCAGGACCTTCTTGCTGTGAGGCAACAGTGCTAACCACCACGCCACCGTGCCGCCCTAATTCTGTGATATGTGGTGGAAAAATATATTGACGATTGACGAGTCCATAAATATGGAAGTAAATCTGTGTCATCGGATTGTGAAAAAAAAGGTGATTGAAGTTCTCTACAACCGCGTTCCTGGTTTCAAAACTCCAACGCCAATCACTCCTAATAGCTTGTCGAAGCATCCCAGCATCATTAAATCATTCAAAACTAGAAGAAAACGCGTATTCTGACCTGCTGTACGCTCTCGTTTAACTTCCGCTTAGTTCATGTCCTATACAGTCTGTTAATGTACAAATGTCAGCTGTCTATTACTGAATCTTACAGACGCAAACCACACTGATGGCATAAAGTTAAAGTTAAAACACTCAACGAAGCCCCCGTTATTAATGGACATGGCTGAAATCCGGTCATCATAGTCGAAAAAGCCGAAGTTGCTCGCTCCTTTTGCGCGACGCACGCTCCCGATCTTGAATCTAGAATTGATTGCTCTTCCTTGGGTTCCCGGATGTTACGATTGAATTTTTTGGGGTTGAATTTTTTGGAGTTGAATTTTTTGCATTGAATTTTTGCGTTGAATTTTTTGCAGTTGAATTTTTTAATGTTGAATTTTTTGCAGTTGAATATTTTAACGTTGAAAAACATTCAGATACATGATTCCAAATGCTGAGATGAAAACATATATCACAGAACAAAACTCATATTTTAAAGCTTCATTCTTTACTTACTGAAAAAGATTACAATGCTGTAATCTGTTGGGTAGGTTCTACTGTAATCAGCAAATTTCCACACGTTAAGAGAACATATCGGTCATTATTTACACGTCTGTCGTCAGAATCATTGCAGGAGACAGATGCAAGTTAAGGTCAGCAGAGGCCAAGTGGTTTGTCTGCCCAAGAGGTGAATACTTTACCGTCGTTTGTGTGACGCTTGATTCAATTGCACGCAAAAGGAGGCCTCTGACAAAGGGGATAATGCAGCACCTGCAGAAAGTCGTAACGCAAATAACAACAATAATCCTTAAAGAATAAAGGTTTCTCCTTTAGAGTGTGGAGGCCTTTTAACTCTCTAGTCACAGACCCATCATGAGCAGTCTAATTTGGAATAAAACCGAAATCACCAAACATCATACAAACTCCACGCTGCTTGGTTAGGAACAGGGTCATTTCTTTCTCTCTAAATGGTTTAAAAGGTGACATATAAATATTGTTGTGCTTTTTATTTCATATGATAATGCTAAATGTACCAAAACTGCGCAGGATTTTAGAATGTGCAACATTTTACAAACGGCGCCCCATATGTTCCTCGTTCGGAAAGTGGACTTTAAAGTCTTATTCAGCCATTCCACCAGACCATCAGTCTGCAATGATGCACACTGGTCCAAATAGACTAATACAGAGGTCTTCAACAGGGGGTCCGCGGAGGTACTGCGGGGGGGATAGTACAATTTTTGGTGGATAAGATTTTTTTAATAAAAAAATTCAGCCAATTTTTTATTTTTTTGTCTTCAGAATCAGAATTGTATTCATTGTCTTTCAATACACATTAACATTAATCCAACATATTGTAGCGAACAGATAGATTGATGGAGAATCTTTCAGTCTGCAACGCACACATCCAGCTCCCCACAGCAGCTCCCAAGCTGGACACCGGTTCACTCACAGCTCCTTTCATGCAATTGACTTGATTCAGCCAATCAGATCGCGTCCATGCTCACATTTAAACGTTTAAAGTTTAAAGATGGCGGACCAAACCCAAAATTTGGGGATCCTTGGCCTGAAAAACGTTGAAGATCCGTGGACTAATAGACCAAATAGATGCCCAGTAACCAATAAAGTTCCCTCAATCTACTCAACGTGAACGAGGTGCCCTGGTCAGTCGGAATCTCTTTCGGGATCCCGACTCTGGAGACACTTGCAGAAATGTTGCGCAACTGCCCTGCCTTGGGATATTGTGTTGCGTAATACACTAACAGAAAGAGACACCTGCGTGCACTCGGTAAAAAGGCCCAATAAGGTCCACGCTCGAATGGCCTCTATAACGCCAGAGGACGCAAAGGAGTGGAGGGGTTCCCAGTTGACACTAAAGGCTGGACGCACGCCAACAGCACACGTCCCCCCCAGATTCCCATCCATCCATCCATCCATCCATTGTCAAACCGCTTATCCTGCACACAGGGTCGCGGGGGGGAGTCCATCCCAGCCAACTTCGGGCGATAGACAGGGTACATCCTGGATTGGTCGCCAGCCAATCGCAGGGCTACACAGAGACATACAACCATTCACACTCACATCCACACATCTACGGGCAATTTAAAGTCCCCAATTAACCTGATCCCAAGAGCATGTCTTTGGACTGTGGGAGGAAGCCGGAAAACCCGGAGAGAACCCCGGCAAACCCGGGGAGAACATGCAGATTCCAAACAAAAAGGCCCCTGGGGGGAATTGAACCCGGGACCTTTTTGTTGGGGGGGGAGGGTGTTAACCCCCGGGCCCCCGGACCCCCCCCCCCCCCCCCCAGATACCCGGCCAATAAAATATAAAACTATCCCATGTGCAGATTTTCCCGGTGGCTCTTCGGCACAAACTTACTCATTATAGCAGATCCCTAAAGTGCGGGTGTGACCAATGATGCTATGCAATCAGATAGTTTGCGGTGTTTAATGAATATTCTTTAAGTGACTGTAAAACAGTACAGTTTTGTAAACATCATATTCATCTTACAGTACGTGTGTGAAGTCTTTTGTTGGTAATACATCAAGATGAGTGTGATACATTACAAACGCTTGTAGCTCCTTCTGTGCGTTCTGCGCAGAGAGGTCACCTGTGACCAGCAGGCTCCTGTTTTGTGTGTCAGGTGATGGTGTGGATCCACGGAGGAGGTCTGTCAATGGGTGCAGCCTCTCAGTTTGACGGCGCTCCATTGGCCGCGTATGAAAACATAGTGGTGGTTATTATTCAGTATCGCCTCGGCATCCTAGGATTCTTCAGGTAAGTTTATGTTGCTCTTGCACATTTCTGACGGTCTGAAATAAAGGGAACACCGTTAAAGTATCACAATGACCATTTGAAGACTTTACTTGCTGAAAATATTTTCCACTCTCAAAGCACTGGAGACGAGCACGCACGGGGAAACTGGGGGTTCATGGATCAGCTGGCAGCACTGAGATGGGTGCAGGAAAACATCGAGGCCTTCGGCGGTGATCCACAAACTGTCACAGTGGCTGGAGAATCGGCAGGAGGAATCAGTGCATCAATATTGGTAAGAAAAGCAGTCATCAGAAGAAAATAAACATCATAGTGACATACAATATATATTTATATATGAATTTTCACAGCGTTGCTCAATCATGTTAATGCACAGTTGTCATTCCTTATGAACAGACTCTCTCTCCACAAGCAAGAGGACTGTTTCAGAGGGCAATTTTTCAAAGTGGAGTGGCAACACTTGGCACCTACACTACAAAACATCCCCTGGGTCATGCCAAGGTACTGTGATATGTAACGATGAGAAGAACTGTTTGCTGAACCTGTATCCCCAGGGAACTATAATCCCCTCATGAGTTGGGTTAATGCATTGAACAGATAAACAACTGGATCTGCCAGAAGCTAGTCCATGCGCTCGTCTTCCGTAGACTGGACTGCTGTAGCAGTGTGTTCAAAGTCAGTCAGTCAGAATGCTAAAGCTCGAGTCCTCGCTGAGACCAAGGAAGTGGATCCCATCACTCTTCTGTTCTGAGATTTTAACACTGGCGTGCTAACCGAAAATAAAAAGACTAAAATGCTACAGTTGCTGAAGAGCTGGATGGTTTGGGACCAAAATACATGTCTGAGCTGCTGCTATTTTTCTGTGGTTACTCAGACATCGATGTACGGATGTCATCATTGTAGCCCCGTTTTTCCTCTTTAAGGGAGGTTGACCTTTGTGTGCATGGGGACAGGCTTTTTCCTATCGGGGTTTGACATCATCTCCCCCGTCATTCTTCAAGTGTGGAATGTATTCCGATGGGTCTATCAGGCTCGGCTGAACCATGGGGCATTGCAGTGGGTGGGAGCTTTCCGGCGGGAGGTCCGCCTGGCGTAGGCTTCGGCGCATCTCACCGATCCCTCAAGTGCTTTAACTACCAGCAACTTCCACCCGGCCCTAGTCATGCCCATCTCTGTTAGTAGTTGGTCCGTTTTCTTGTGAAGGGCGCCCCGCCACGTCAGGACCACCGCTCCAAACCGTACATCAGAGGGGTTCTTGCTCCAACGACCTCCTACCCAGACCCTGATGTCTTCCCTGTCATAATAGTCCGACTTTTGCTTGTATGCGGCCGCCATGGTGGTAATGCATGCGTCCGCAACGATGGTGGTGTCGAGGACGATCACGTGTTGGTCCGTGTTGACTACCAGGTCAGGTTTCCTCAGGCCCTCGATGGTTGGGATCCGCGGCTCGACCAGGCACTTTGCTCCTTTCCTCAGCCATCCTTTCCTCAGCCATCCCCTTACCATCCCAACCCCCCCACCAAGGTCGCCATGGGTTAGGGTTAGGGTCTCCTTTCTATTCCAGTCAGAACCTAACATGGAGAGGCAGCTTCAGTTCTTCTGCTCCACATATCTGGATCAAGCTCCCAGGAAATCTGGAGATCTGCTGCGCCTTTCAGTGGCTTTAAGTCACTTAATTAAGTCGGAAGACGTTTCTGTTTACTGCCGCTTTTAATTGGACCAGATTCTGGTTGTTTCATTAAAAGTCCAACTTTTATTCTCATCTTACCTGTTGTTAAATGTCCTTTTCTTTCGCCTTATGTTTGGATGGTTTTATGTAGAGCAGTTTGAATTGCCTGTTTTTTTTTTTAAATGTGCTATACAAATAAATTCCCTTGCCTTACAGTGGTTTCATCAGAACTCAGTTAAAAGTAGACGAGAGCACAGTCCCCCAAAAGTAAAAACAAAAAAGGGCCAGAATCGACACGCTCAGTGGTAGAAAAGGGCTGTCCTTGAAATAGAACATTAGCAGTTCAATCCCTGGCTCCGCAAGTCAGAAGACAGCAAAAGGTACATAAGGTGCCCGGCATACTTAGAGGCTCCGTAGAGATGAAAGGGACTGCAGAGTTGGATCAAAATAGCCTATGGGAAATTCTGTTACCGAAGTTAAATTACACACTTTTGATATTCACATTTATATTAGCGCAGCTAATAGAAGTTATCAAGCTATATGGATCAGAGATCAAGCAGAATTGCTAATGTTCTTAAATAGTGTAATGACTTTCAGGGGCGTTTCAGCAAAGTACTAACTATCAACTTGCAAACTGCTAGTGATGCTGTTGGATGTTTTGACTCCTCCTGGCAACAGCCAAGAAGATTCTATTCTATATTCTTTGAGCAACTTTCACACCTACCGGGTTAAAATAAATACGGACCTTAACTTTGGTCTAGAGAATATTTATATCAGGATACATGTGAAGTACTTATACATTCTCTCTCTTCCTTATACCTAGATTGTTGCCAACCTCACTGGATGCAACTTCAGCAGCACAGAGGAAGTGGTTGCGTGCATGAGGGGGAAAAGTAAAGAGGAGCTGGTTGATGCAACTAAAAAGGTAAATAGTCCCGTGAAGATGTGCGAGCACAAGTTTTTGAAAAGTATTTAGCTGTGATTTGATTGTGTGCTTCATGGCATTTCGAGAATCCTTCTGTCATTAGTGAGGGATTAGGACGCCAACACTAATCAGAAAACCTTCTAACCTTCTTGTTCTAGTCTTTAAACAGTTTTAAATGGTGGACTGCTAAAAGGAAAAGGTATATGTTTTCACAAAGAAACCATCTGACACGACGCAGAGGTTGAACAAACTAATTTCCTCCACTGAGTAAGTTGTGTGCTGCGTTTAGATGAGAATCTTCCTGGGAGCCGTGGTGGACGGCGTGTTTCTCACCGACACGGCTGAGGAGCTGCTCAAGAGGAGAGAAGTGTTACGGGTTCCAGTGATGATGGGATTAACCAACCACGAGTTTGGATGGATCCTGCCTAAGGTCACAGCACTCAATGCTTTCCGTTTCACCACCATGCAGACACGAGACACTTAACACAGCCTCTTTGACAACTCCAGTATACCTGCTGTCCTTGATTATTAAATTAAATCATTTGTATCTTTATATTGAACGATGAAACATTGTCCCATCGCAGATCTTCCTCCCACCCGGCTGGGAGAACGGCATGAACAGAGAGACCGTGCTGGCACTGATGAACATGGTCAACCCTACAGGGGTGAGATCTTTGAGCGCTGATGAACGATTCATTTGAATTGGAAGCAGAGTTGTTTTTTTAATAATGTCAGCTGACTTTTTATAAGTTATTGAGGAGTCTATATTGAATGGTTATCAAAAGCCATTGTGTAATTCAGGTGTCAAAGGTAAACGAGCATCCGCATGAACAAATTGTGTATCTGGTATATGGGTTGTGAAGAGGTCTGAGCAACGAGCACTAAAGGAAAGCAAAACAGACAAACTGTATCAAGCTATCCAAGGCAGAGGAATAGGGCATCGTCGAGAAAAACAGAGTTGGACAACAACATTGGGACCAGGAGGAAAGGGGGAGACATCTGCGTAGAAGAGACTAGGAATATTCTGCCAGCAACGGCTCTGATGGGGAGATCTACATGGTGGAACTGACTGAAACCAGAGACAAATAGGGTGTAAGCTGCCGTTGAAAACCAAAGAAGACAATTCAGCGGGAAGTCTGTTGATGTAGTTTATGTGTATTAACTTTATTTGGGTTATGTTTTGTTTGACATATTTTAATAGGGATGCTATAACTCCGTTAAGGTAGTTCTTTGTAGCAGCAACTGTTGAACAACATCTTGGGGGAAATTAACCCACTTTTTAAATTGAAAGCCGGTTTATTGTCCCTTGTCTGCTTGGTCCACGACAGGAAGTTTATGTCGCTGCCAATTCGTTCATTTTTCAACCTATTGACACTTAGTGTCTCCTAACAACGCAGCAGAGCTTTCACCAACAAGGATAGTCGGGAAAACACATTGATCACATATTCATCACATGGGACGTGGACAGCATCCACACAGTGAACACGAGCCTGGCCTATTGCGCAGCCGCAACACAGATTGCAGGTCGTGAAGCTGCAGAAGGGGAAACCTGACGGTCAAACCCTCCCCCCCCCCTCCCTCGCTCCAGGCTTCCTCTGCTAACGATCTCATCGCCGACGAGTACATGAAAGATGCCCAAACGCCAGAGGAGATCAGAGATGCGTTCACCGAGATCGTGGGAGACCTGCTGATGACGCTGCCGGTTCTCAACGTGGCCGGATACCACTCAGGTCAGAGAGCTCGCCCGGAGAGAGTGCGCGGACGTTCCCGTTGCGCCTGGAGATGAATTGATGCTTTTTGCAATCGCTCGAGGGAAGCCTCGCGGTTCATACATGCCTCCAAGGTGATCTTTGACCGTCATACTTTCTCCTCCATGTATTCAGATGCAGGCATTCCGGTTTACATGTACGAGTTTGTGTACAGTGCTGACATTCACAAAAGCAACAGGCCGAGCTTCGTGAAAGCAGATCATGCAGATGATGTCGGCTTTGTGTTTGGTGCGTGTTTCTGGAGTGGCCACATCCAAATCACAGGTGGGTTAGACATCTTGTGTCATCACAAACATCTGAGGGTTGAAGTAATATTAATATCTGGGAATGGTGGAATAAATCAAGAAATAAATGTGACCACGAAGGTGAAAGACGTCCCATTTTCAGGCATTATCACCGCGGAGGATGAGAGGCTCTGCAGGACCATGATGTCGTACTGGGGCAGTTTCACGCGGACTGGGTGAGTAAGCGCAGACAACAATATCATTAGAGCCGAGCTTCATGTGTTTTTGCCAAAGAAAAACTTCCCAAAAAAAAAACCTTCATCCAAATCCATCAAGAAAGGTTTAAGCATCTGTCCCCCAGGCTTAACATCACGTCGTGGCTGGATGTCATGTGTACAGTAATTAAATTACTTCTATAAATACATTACTACAGTTGTAACACTAGTCATGATCACACATATTATCACCGCTGAGCGTGCTCTTCTGCCTAAATCCTAAAACACTCCCCAAAGTTTGCAGCTTTAGTTGGGCACCACCGGCCCATTCACAGTGGAATGATAGAGGCTCCACCGTATCCCCGCGGTTCCCCTCAGCTCATCGGAGCATGTTAAGTACAAGGTATGAAGCCATAAGTATGCAGGAAACAAAATGAGTTCTGTGAGGAGCAGGAGGCCCGGTGACCGAAGCAACCCCCGTCTGGGCGGGCCCCCGAGAATCAAACTTAACGATTACAATTTAATGAAAAGTAATTTTCTGCGGGAAAATAACAGTTTAGCTAAAAAACAGGGAACTAATAAAAACAAAAAGGTAATTCACCTAAGAACTGACCTTGAAAACAACTACCAGCTCATTGGATTCTCAAGCCACACTCCGACACCAAAAGAAGACAAGCACACTGACAACAGCTTCATTATGTGCAGCTTTTATACTAATGGGTGTACCAGGAAGTAGGAGGCACCGAGGCCTGCCTGAACATTTCCTAATTGCCACAGTGACATGTTTGCATGTGTCTGCAGCTCTCCCAACGGCCCTGGACTCGTTGCCTGGCCCCCGTATGACAGGAGGAATCAGGAGTACTTGGAGCTCGGCTCGATGCAGACAGTGAGACAGAAACTGAAGGAGGACAAAGTCCATTTCGCTACTGTCATCCTGCCTCAGAAGCTGCAACAGTTAGCAGCAGCAGCCGCAGCTGAAAACTGATCTCGAAACGCTGCCATGTGTTATATCTCCTCAGTGAATGTCAATCTCAGCACTCACCCATGTTTTAAAAGGATTTACTGACCTGCTTTAGCTAATCTTTCAATTCCTTGCAAGTATCTATTTTGACATTTTGTAGTATGGCTGTCATTAAAGAAAACCCGTTCATTGCAAAGACAGGAAATGTGTTTCTTGTGAACATATACTGATGGCATGGTTCTTACACGCAGTTTGAAATGTTTCAAATATAAACAGAAATCATACAGGAGAGTGTGACATCTCGATTAGGAAATTATACTAATTTCCCATATATTTATATAATGTTCAAGTAAAATAGTCGAAGGAACTTGAATTAATGACGTAGAAATATACTTACATGCATCATCATATGGCCAAATAAAGAAAAATAAAGGATCTTTTAAAAGGACAAACAATAGCAAAAGTTTAAAAAATTGCATGTTTAACTGCAAGAAATATTTTTTGTTTGCAGACCAGAAAACAAAATGTGTCACTGAAAATGAAATATATTTTCTATCTAAATAACTACACACACTACTACTAAACAGTAATTTACTGGTGGATCCACATATTACAAAAAAATCTGCTGCTCTTTAATTTAGTCGATGTAAATTAATTCAATACTTTCAAACTCTAGCGAAGTGCATGGAACACATGTCCAATTAAAATAGTATGATAGCATGCATAAATCTGTAAATGATAAGTTCATTTTAGAAAAATATTCAAGGAATGGCAGTGGAAGGACTTAAATGCTCAAAATGGGTTATTGTGTGTATATATATATATATATATATAAATATACACTGTATATACAGTATATTGTTGTGCCTAGCAACGGCACCTTTATTGTGTAGTATGTATCCGGTATGATTCACGCAGCACTGCGTGCTCATTGGCTGCGCTACTTGCTGACGTCATCAGGTTTCCCCCTCCTCGTCCCCTCGTCTCAATCCGCCTCTTGACGCGCGTGCGCGCTCTTCCTCCTTCCACGCCGACGTGAGCGAAACCCTCCGCCGCACACAAGAGCCGAGACGAGCCGGCGAGAGACGCCCCGCGCAGGTACAGCTGCTCCTTCTGACGTGGTCCCGTGAAATACCGGCTTCATTCACCGTTCTACGGGTCGTTAACGTCGTCCTCGCGCGGCTTCGCTGTTGTGTGCGTGTGTGTGTGTGTTTGAATTCAACGTGGTTACAGAGCGTGGACTTCGCGTCAGTGGCGTTTTTTTTTTTTTTTTGGCCCGTTGTTGTTTACGAGTTCGAAGACTTGTCTTCGAACGTGCGGACTATTCGGTTGCGGATTCCCCGTTTTTCCTTCAAACGCGAGCGCGCCTCGGCCCGGGAAACGTCCGCCTCGCGCGCGGCGTTTGTTCGGCGCGGAGCCGCCGCGGGTTCGAGTCCCGCCGCCCGCGTGCATCCGCGCTCCCGTGCCTGCGTCGACGTTGGTTAACAGCTGGTGGTCCTCGGCGGAGACCGCGGGAGCCCGACGACCCTCAGCGACGTGGCAATTGGGAGACGAGTTGGCTCGCGACCCCCGTGAAGCGGAGCACAGCGCGACATTGTTGCTGAATCAAGGGGCGTTTATTATTATACAGGTGGCCGGTTTTTTTTATATACTTGGTACTTCATCACGCTATCTGCTCAAAACTTCCTCCGAGACACAACGGATGATGCAACTGTCAAATAGTTTCAACGGAGTCCGGCGGGACCTTTTATTTCCGTACAGAAAAAACACGCATACGTTATTATTATTATTATTATTATTATTATTGATGGTACATGATAGAATGTCAGGGAGAGCGGGCCGGTTGCGCCCTGAGTAGGAAAGGAGCAGGACAATTTCCCCTCAATAAACCGACAATTAAAAAAAGAAAGGTATACTTCTTTGCATATGCATTGTTTAATTATTCTGCTATCTGATGCTTGAAAAGTAAAATCAAATCAGCTTATTGGTTATGGATAAACATAATGATTTTTTTTCTGTTTAGAAACCGAACATATTAATAATAGCATAATTAAGCTTAACCCCCAAACATGGCAGCCAGCAATTAAAATATGGGTGTGAATGTGTGTGTATTATATATATATATATATATATACACACACACAAATTGTTTGTTTCAAATTCTCGGAAAACGTCCCAAAACTTTTTGTGTTTCCCTAATCAGAAGTTTCCAGAAGGAAACCGTGAGCAGTTCCAGATAACTGTTACAACAAGGATACGTACGTACGCATTTCTATTCCACAGGAGGAAAAAACAGAAATGAAAGAGAGAGCATTTTGAAGAGAACAGAACCCATCCCAGAAGTAGATACATGATATATTATTTATTTATATATATATATATATATATATATATATATATATATATATTATATATATATACATACATACATACATACACACACATAAGCATTATTCTCTGACTGTTCTGTCTTTTCCCCTTCGTGTACATTTCACTGATCGTGTTGGCGCGACTGCGCTCTGAGTAACCCTCTGATGCAGCGCGCTTCGGTAGGAAGTGGATGTGGTGGTTTCAATGTCGTGCCCTTGATATTCAAACCTATTTGAGTTATTTAACGGGGGGGAGACGTAGGGCTCACCGTGCGCCGCGTTTGCTGACTCGGTGGTGGGGTGAGATGCCGCCATCTTTGTGTCTCCAGATGTCTCGCTCGCTTCTAAAAACAGATTTATCGTTGTCCGTTGTTGTCGTCGTTGTTATCTGGGGGACAACGCTTACTGATTACATCATTCCCCTCAGCTGAGCGACGACGCCTGATGCGTCTGCCATCAGCTACTTCAGCTTGTCACAAACCGGTGACGTGTGAGGGATTGAAGTTCAGCTGCAACACTGTGGCACTGTAGTGCTACTGGTGACTGACCTTTTGCATTGTTTTGCTGCATACTCTCCATATTATAAATAGTATTAATTGGTGGGATTTGTGATTTCATAGTGTTTCTGTGGTAATGGGACTTTGTAGTCGCTGCTAGTTGGTGATAGGAACCGCTCCCGATGACACCTTTTAATCAGGGGACACATAACATGGTCCAGTTTTGTTTGGGTCGGGCCCCTGTAGAAGTGTCCGGGGCCGACCTTCCTGTTCCGGGAGCACTTCACCGACTCCCTGCTACCTGTGGAGGTCTGATCCAAGTCAACTGGTGGACTGCTGTAACTTCTTGGAGCGGTGAGCCCTTGTTGGTTCAGGGACCGTGGTGGAAAACAACATTTATTCAGGCTGGCTCTGGACCTAAATCAATGGTTCTGGTTTATTACAATTTCCATTACTTTTGGTCATCATTCCCGTCTTGGTTTTAACGTTATTCATAATAATTTGATTGCAGCGCTTTGGAGACACTGTGCCTGCTGGGCTAGTTACCCATGCAGTCATAGGGTAAGGCACATTGTAAACTAAGCCCCAGGTCAGACAAATTTGAGTTTTCCTCTTTTTGTCTTCTAGTTTTTACTTTTTTAAAATGTTTTAACTGTGTTTTTGCTGGCTCTGTGGCACTCTAAGATCTATTGATGAATAGTTTGTTATAAATAAAATATATTATTATTATTAAGTTCAAATAGAGCTGAGCAGTATTTTTTTTTCAACATCATCCTGGCTCAGTTTTGTCTTTGAGACTATGAGGGATTGTCCCGTTTTACCTGAAGGTGCTCCACTGCCGTGCCTTTAACGGTTTAACCTGCTGTAGAAGCAGCAACGGTTTCATTATTAACCGTCATTGGCTCTAATTTGAAATGTCCCAGCGAGTCATGACGGTGTGACAGCGTGGACAAATCCCATCTAAATGGATTTCAGCAACGAGCATAGGTCTTCTGCACCGAATCGCTCAAGCTTCTTTTGTAATTTGACACCCAACTCATTTAAAAGAAGCGTCGCTGTGTAATGTTGAGTCAAAAGGGTTGATCGGCGCATATGTCAGAATATAGATGACACCTATGTTTCCCTGCTTGAACTTTTCTTGTTGTCCGTTGGGTTGAGGATTGTTGGGGGCAACCCGTCGCTCGTCGACTGGAGACAGCCAGGGTAGGTGGGTTGAATCCCAGTACTCCCAACCGGAGAAAAGAAGTTCCACAACTGCCCACATGATTTCACTGATTCCCACAGGAGTCCGGCTGGTCAGGCTGTTCTGCAACTTACAATTATATTAATATTGCAATTTTCCTTTCTTTAGTTAATATTATTCATTGTTTGCCATTAAATGATTGGTCGAGCTTAATCCATAGAACCTGAAAAATGAGCATAGTCGTTTCCTAGACTTCACGTTAGTGTCCCATTACTTTATCTGCACGCTTGGTTTGCAGTAGAAGACGAGGCACAAAACACTAGACCAACATGATAAAAGCACCAAAGGGTTTAAATCGGTAAACCACCAACCAAGTAAAACAAATACAAGCGTCGCTTCTATAGCATCTGTGTGTACTGTTGCTATTTTTTGTTGGCTTGATAGCACTCTGTCCAATACCATGTGACTATATACCTCCTGTCTGGAAGGAAAGTGCAGAAACTCACTGCACACAGAGTGGGAGTTGTCCTTTTAGGATGTTATCCTTTGTGACTCCGGGCTAAGCTGTGACTCGCCCAATCGGCCTGCTAGAACATTTAACAACTCGATGCAGAGTGTTTCTGTTGTTTAAAGATACGTTTCCAAACCAAGCACATTTCTTTCCGTTGTTCACAGATAAGTTGAGTTTGTGAGTCCACTTGATGTTCAAGTTCTCGACAAGTAAAAAAACCCCATAACTGTGCAGTCTGGACCTTCAACTCGCATCCTTATCGGACCCCGGAAGGGACCTGCTGCCAACATGGAGGGCGTAGCAGCAGACCACCTGATCGACCTGGACCCGCCCTCTGACGCCCCAGCTCTCCGCATAGATGGAGGCCGACACCAGGACCGTGCTGCCATTTTCTCCCCAGAGCAGGCCCCCTCCGTGGGAGTCCACCAGCAGCCGTCACTGCCGGAGCCCACGGCACAAACCGAGCCCTGCCCCGCCCACCTCCACCCAAAGGACGGAGACGAAGACAGCGATGCTACGGAGTCGGCAGACAGCGAAAACGACATGGACTCGCCGTCCAACAGGAGGAGGTCGTCATCCTCGTCCTCTCACAGTGGCGAGGACACCGACAGTGAGACGGAGGAGAGGAGGCAGTTTATGAAGGCTTACGTGGAGAAGGTGTTTAACGGACGGTAAGGAAGAATTCTTGTTATATGTGGGCGATCTCTAACGTTGACGTGCCCAAACCATCTGGGTGTCTGAGGGACCTGGAACTCTTCTCAACGTGGGGCTACTTGGATCCAATAGGCTCTGATGTGTCAAACGAGGGGTTTCACGTGCAAATCGGCCAATCGTGGCCGGACAATCCAGATATTCACTCCAGTTTCTCTGCCGTGAGGTCTGTATACTAAAGCTTCTTTAGAGTTTCCACAAATACTAACCACACACTGGTCTATGACTTATGTGTGTTTTGCCTGGTATCACCGTGTTTTATAGGCATAAATGAACATTGATACCCCTCATTTATTTCTTAACCAGTAACATCTACTGATTTTTCACATCAGAACACTCAAAGGTTTTTCCCTTTACCAGATTGCAGTAATATATATATAATATAATTATGATTGAAGCTTTCTGCTTGAAAATTATATTATGCTCCATCTATCCATCCATTTTCCTCCGCTGTTCCAGGGTTAGGGTCGCAGGTGGCCCAGACTTCCCCTAACCGCCAACAGTTTCCATCTCCTTCTGGGGGCGCTGGGAGATGTGATCCCTGAAGCGTGTCGGGGGTCTCCCAGGGCCTCCTACCCATCGGGCGCGACCGTAAAACCTCCAGTGGGAGGCGTCCATGAGGCATCCTAGTTAGTTAGTTGCCCAAACCCCCTCAGCTGTGGAGGAGTAACTCCTCACCTTTAAAGTTCCCTCCTGATGTCCGAGTCTCTGAGGCTGAAAATGCAAATGACTTTAGCTCTGCAAATGGACATACAAGATTTAACATTGATGGTTCAGTCTCGTCCGGCAAGGAACCACACTTTTGCTCAAATTTGTCTGGAGCCACCATTTGCAACCTGTCCTCTGTCCCCACCCTCTCAATCTTGCACAAGTGCTCAGTCGGTTGTTTTTGTTCAACCCATTTGTTTAGTCATTGCTCACTCTTCCAGGCTGTTTGGTCATCCGTCCTGCTTTGCGCTGTGTATTTACAACCAGATGCAACATGTCAGAGATTCCCATGACTCACTAGCATGTCGAGCAGAATACTTGATAAGAGATTTAATATGAGCAGGGTGAACTGTTGAAAGGGCATTTCTAAATAGCAGGGTACCTTTAATTCTTTTGTAATTTCATTTATCTATTTAGTTTTACTAACATTTGGTCATTTCTGAGTTCTGTTTCTCTCTGTCAGGGAATTTGCCATCCGTCACCCTTTGACCTCTTTACCATCTGGTAAATCTGACCACAGACCAATGTCTTAATCCATCTTGTCTAAAAAGAATGGATGTCTTGCCATGAGAACTGCGGAAATGTCTTTTTATTTAGAAAAACATCTCTCCCAATTACACGCGCGTGATAATTACCGCAGCCCTTAAGCCCACAGAGCTGGCGAAAATGAAACCTCTTTGCGTGTCGATCCAGGCTCTACGTTTCTCCACCCTGTTTTCACAGGAAGGACTTTGACCAGGAAGAGAAGGCTCGTTTCGGAGAGCTGTGCAGTGGGGAGAACGGTAAAGGCCGGGAGTGGTTTGCAAAATACGTCAGCGCACAGGTAAGCAAAAGGAAATGAAGAATTCCACATTCAACTGCCAAAGAATTACATGTTTTTGTTGCACCCCCTGCATACAGAAGTCCACTGTTTTCTTTTCAAATTTGTCCGGTTTTCTGTGTGTGTAACTTAGCCGATGGTTGTTGAGGTGTTTTAACTTTTTCAACTCTGTCCCGCTGTGTTCACAGCGCTGCCACTCTAAGTGTGTGAGCGAAGCCACCTTCTACAGACTGGTGCAGTCGTTTGCGGTGGTTCTGTTTGAGTGAGTCTGACATTTACAACATTGTTAATGTTCTTCTCAGTTCTTCCCCTAAAAAGAAAACAAAAAAAACTCTGCAAAACCACATAACTTAAAAGGGAGAAGATGCATGTTAAGGGGCTATTATTTAGTGTTTGATGAATCCCAATTTGAGGAATTCAATTAGGCAAGGCCAGTTTATTTGTAGAGCGCTTTTCATACACAAGGCAGACTCAAAGTGCTTCACATCATAACATTTCATACGATAAAGTGAAATAAAATGCAGGAATTAAAAGACAATTAAAAACAGCAAATAAAATTATAAATTAAAATCTTATTTAAATTGTTTAATTAAAGGCACAGGTTAAAAGTGCAATGTAGGTCAAATTTAGCAGAAGGCGAAGCTGAACATAAAAGTTTTCAGTCTTGTTTTAAACGTGGTCAGAGTTTAAGTCTTAAATCTTCAGGAAGTTTATTCCAGCTGTTTGTTGCGTAGTAACTAAATGATGCTTTCCCATGATTTGTATTTACTCTGGGAATCACTAACAGATTGGTGTCAGAAGATCTTAGTGATCTTGAATTAAGTTCGAGAGAAATCCCTTATGCAGCATCACACTCGCTTTATGACACAGAGGGAGAAGAACTCAATGTGGCTTGCGTCTTTTACTGGATTACTACTGTTCCATGTTCTCATCCTTTGAGCGAGATTCCTTCAGTAAATTACATACGTTCCAGTAAAGTCATCATAGGATCCTCTTTTTAAGAAATTCTGTGTTCACAGATGTTACCAGATGGATGACTACAGCCCGGCCAAGAACCTCATGACTATGTGCTTCACGTATTACTACAGTGGTAAGGTCTTACTCAAACCTCATGTGCCATGTATTGGAGTGACTTTTCTTTTCAAACTGGTTCAACATGAGCCTTTTATTGCACACATTTAAAAAAAACTTGCATAATTTTCCTCGCCCGGTGCTAATCGAGTGAGTGTTGCCACCACAGTTTGGTCCTGTGGTTTCTTTTTGCAGCAGCAAACACGTATGCAATACCTTTTCAACATCCGCCTGCAGTCAATATTTTGACATAAAAGCTAGACCTGCACGGTACGCAACCCTGCACTGTGTTTGGTCGGAAGGGAAACGGTCTCTCGCACTGAATCCACATGACGTGAGACGTGAAGTTTACTTTGTTGTGTGAGAGTAGAAGTCTGAACGTTAAATCATCCGTTCAAATATGTCCGAATATCAGCTCAGTGTCAATAGTAATGAATTCACACGGTACGATTGGTACATGTATTTTATGTATTATGGTTTGAAAATAATTGACTTTCTTCACAAAAATGCTTAAATTTCTAATGCACTCAGTCATCTTTTTATAAAAAATAAAGACAAAATCCATAAATAATAAATCACATCACAAAGCTTTTTGTTTTGTCGCCACATTTCTATTTCCTTTCATCAGAGACATCAAGTGGTGTTCTCATCTTTATCCCTCCTGTCATGCTTTAGTTAGTAGGATCAGAAAGAGAGAACAGGCTAACAGGACATGCTGCAGCTACTTTTTTGTGAGCAAAATGTTATGCATTTTCAGATATGCATTAAAAATCAACCATCAATATACATATGCACATACACACATACCCATACGCATACATAGATACGCACCTATATATGCATACACACATGCACTCACACCCACTTGAACATATAAACAAAATACGCACATAATGGTAAAACAAAAAACAAGTAATCTGATCTGATCTGCTATGGCCGGGGTTAGTGGACTTTTTTTCTGCTCCGCAGACACCTTTTTTTTTTTTTTTTGCAATTACACACATCATACGTTTCCTGTAGTTCTTGTCCAGCCTTCCTTCGATATGATCTCCTGCCAAACATTTTCCCTCAGCCCTTTTGCCACGTTGGTCTCAGGCCTTCGCACATTCTAATTTGAATATTTTATATTATCCTGTAGAATATTGAGGCAGCGTGTGCGAGAAATTCTTCAGTCCGGTTGTTTTCCTTCTCTGCTCTTTTCAGTCCAAACACCTTCCCTATGCTGCTCCTCGGCTGTAAATACGTTCAGAAATCCGCCTTCTCCTGTAACTTAGATTTTCTTTTTACGGTTCTCAAATGATCTGAATATCCCATAGAATTGTTTTTTTTTCCTATACAAATGACAGGATTATTCCAAAGTGAGGAGTAGTCTTCTTTGTAACGAGAGATGCCCAGCATCTTGTGTGCCCTTGCCCATGTCCACTCAGAGTATTGTAAAATTAGATCTTTGTTTTATGTGTTTTTGTGTAGAATATCTATAACCTGTATGCTGCTGCTGGTATCCCTTCCATCTTTACCCACGTTGGTTTAGCTCCAGAATAATTCCCAAATATTTAAGCCCTTTTGGGATCTATTTAAACGGAAATGTTTCCATCATTGCTCGACTACATCCTCTTGATATTGGCATGCATTCAGATTTATACCAACCTGATGTTTTTTTAATTGTATTAAGCACAGTAGAATAGTTTACAACCTAGCAAAGAACTTACTGCACATTAATCCAACTCACAGGTCTGTAATTTCCAGGATCAGTAGGGCCTTTATCTTTTTCACCAATGAAGGATATCAGTGATTCGTTGTATTTTGGTTGCTCTCCCAGTGAAAAGGATTATGATTCAGACAAAGTTAATCCTGATCTTTTGCTAAATACTAAGATCTGCTAGCATACGTTCCTGCCGCGCTGTATGTTAAATGCAGGCGTACTTATGAAGGTAATTCAAAGAATACGCCAAACATGTCAAACTAAAGATCTGATTGGTTGAAGACCATGACAATCAACCAATATGGTGCCCTAAGCTCTTTTTAAAACAAGCTGCACTGGAAGCAGCGCTGCAGGCTCTAAGCAACGGAGGAAAACAGGAGCTGTGCAATAAGAAAACACTATAATAAATGGCAAATGGACTGTACTTGTGTAGCGCTTTTCTAGTCTTCCGACCACTCAAAGTGCTTTAACACTACATGACATCATTCACCCATTCACATTTGTGAATTGATCTTAATCCATTTCCAGAGCCGATGGACTCTGTTTTAAGGTTCGGCTCACTCAGTTGCAGCCGGCTAAAATGAAAATAATCAATTATCAGACAGTCACTTAACATGTTGGAAGGTCAACTAGGTTCCCCGTTGAACCCAGATCGAACCATTTTTCTCACTTTGCTCTCGTTCAGGGAAGTCCCAGCCCTCTCCCTCTGAGTTACTGGATGGGAGTGGTCCTCCGGCTGGTCTGGACACGTACATCTACAAAGCGAACTCCTGGCTGTCCATGAAGAAGGATGCCGCTGAGCGCCTCCTCAAAACCACATCAAAGACGGACGCCAAAGGCTTCTTTGGAGGCAAGCTGAGAGGCTCCATGGCTCCCAAGACCGAGTGAGCGGATTCATCATCCTTTCGTTGACGTGGCCGTTCAGAGTGGTCATATCTTTGTCTTGGTCTTAACCCGTGTTCTCATTTCTAGGGAAGGGGAAAGCCCATTTGAGGCAAAGCCCAAGTCACCAGGTACGGTGCACCATAACTCTCTTGAACTGCAGTTATTGGAGTGCGCTTTAACGTGCTCCACTAAGGTTTTATAAAACGTGATTCAGCAACCTGCCACGTGTTCTCCATCCCAGTGTCTGAGGCATCAACGAAAAAGAAAGGAGAGAAGGTGTACCTATACACTCACCTGAAGCAGCAACCCATCTGGTAAGTTAAGGCAAACGGAACAGATGCAAAAGCTAAATCCTCGATTCTGTTCACCACAAAAGTGTGAAATTAACATTGCCTTTTGTTTGGTTTTTGTTGATATATAAATATTGATTAAAGCTTTTGCTGAACCTCCTAGAGGTGAAGATACCCTTCATTAAGTCCCACCCCCACTGCTAATCAGTCAAGCTGTCAGAGCAATGTTTCCATGGAGATCACACTCAAACTTTCCAGAAAAAATAAAGAAAAAATACATTTTGTAGACTAGACAGAAGGGTACAACAGGGTTCACTGAATAAGCAGACCACAATCCGAGTCCAAACCCGAGAAAGAGGAATAGAGCTGAAAAGTGGTTTGATAACTACAGAGTACTACAAGTCCCTGCACACACAAGTTATCTTTGTAGAAGGTCAGAATAATATTGCGGATTTTGGATGATCACTTCACCCGACTCCACCTGCAAGTGCATCACAGACTTCCCGTCTGACAGGAAGCAGCACGTGAAGCTGGGGAAACATGTCTCAGCCACTCTGCACCGGTTCCCCCCAAGGCGGCGTTCTTTCCCATCTGCTCTTCTCCCTGTACACCAACAGCTGCACCACCAGTCCGTCAAGCTACCAAAGTTTGCGGATGACACCACCCTTATTGGACTGATGGGGATGAGTCCGCCTACAGGTGGGAGTCTGACCATCTGGTGTCGTGGTGCAGCCAAAACAACCTGGAGCTCAACGCTCTGAAGACAGTGGAGATGGTTGTGGATTTCAGGAAGAATGGAGTTCCACCTTCCCCCATCACCCTGTGTGACTCCCCCGTCACTATTGTGGATTCCTTCCGTTTCCTGGGCTCCATCGTCACCCAGGACCTCAAGTGGGTGCTGAACATCAGCTCCATCACAAAGAAGGCTCAGCAGAGGTTGTTCTTCCTGAGGCAGCTGAAGAAATTCAACCTGCCAAAGACAATGATGGTCCACTTCTACACGGCCATCATGGAGTCCATCCTCTGCTCCTCCATCACCGTCTGGTACGCTGCAGCCACAGCCAAGGACAAGGGCAGGCTGCAGCGTCTCATCCGCTCTGCAGAGAGGGTGATCGGCTGCAATCTGCCGTCCCTGCAGGACTTGTTCGCTTCCAGGACCCTAAAGCAGCTAAAAAGATGGTAGCCGACCCCTCTCACCCCGGACAAAACCTGTTTCATCAATCACAGATTTACCGACGCAGGAATGGAGAAGACGCTTGCGGCATATTTTTCACCCGCCGAGAAGCAACTAATAATGGAAACTTATAAAGAGTATAAGTTATAAGTGAAGCATCTAATATGCAAAAAAACGGCAGCTGTAGTTAAACAGAGAAAAGGCCTGGCCGACAATCACGGACTGAATGCGGAATGATTAAAAAATATGTACTTACTAGGGAAGTTGTAGATAGTTTTAATTGCTGTATCTGTGTGCTGGTTTTACCGTAAAGTGCCTACCACGTAAAGCACTATGTAAATAGAGGGAGGGAATTAATGTTCCTCTGTTCCCCCCCGACCATCTGAACAACGGCAATAGTAGGGTTACGCCGGGCATACCTCTCCACCGGTCACTCCCTTCACACTCCACATGCAGATACACTTTCTGTTCGCTGGTGCACTTTATTTTTAATTTAAATTCCTCTTGCACTATGTTGTTTCATGTCTTGTTGTCCATTGTCTTACTGTCCGATGTAATGCACCAACCACCAAGTCAAATTCCTTGTATGTCTTAACATATTTTGGTAATAAATGTTCCTGAACTGAATTTAAAGTATGTTATAATGCACAGAGCAGTTTGACGTGTTTTTGTTGTAAACCACTGAAGAGGAGTTGTATCATCGTCCTAGAAATGACCGGCCTCACATCTTTGGTGACTCTGCTTCCATGCTTTGCCTGGAGAAATGAGATGTGGCCGGTGTAACCAGGCTGATCATTTAATGATTTACTTTGCTTCCACTGGCTGACGTGTCCAGTGCTTGGTAAAGTAGGTTAGGCAAGTAACTTGTAACATGTCGTCCATTTTCTCCCCCAGGCACACGCTGAGATTTTGGAATGCTTCATTTTTTGATGCCGTCCATTGTGAGAGGAAGAAGAGGTCGCCAACCACGAGGTCAGTGTGGAAGGGAAACATACAGGGTCACAGTGCTGCATTGTGAGGGAAAATGCCGCATGTTTCAAAATATGTATGTGTTCCACGGTCACAGACAAAATATGTCTTTGATAAAGGTTGGAGATGCTGTAGCGATATAATCTTGACTGAAAGAACTCTATCCAAAGACAAATGTCCCAATGGTGTAGAGTCCGGGGAACCGGTATTTAACTGATTTAACTGGTCTAGTAAGTGTCTTTTAGAAGGCGTCAACCGTGGATATCATTGTAGTGTCAAGTTGAGGAAGTTGACAGCTGAAAGAAATGAGCTGTAACTGAGCCTGCTTGTTCTTGACCGGAGGAGACTCCTCAGAACCCCAATTTGATTTTAATTTGACATGGATGTGGAGCAGGTTGTTCCTTGTAGCCAAGAAACTTCGAGAAAACATGGACTACGACAAAGATAATGTGTCAGACAAACTTTCCGTTAAAAAAGACAGACCCCTAAACTTTAGAAAATAAACTCCTTTTAAGATGAACCGTATTACATTACAGGTCATTTAGCTGACCTTTATCCAAAGCGACTTGCGTTGCATTTTTAACCCATGGGGTTTTATATTTTTGCCCGGGGAGCATTTAGGGGTAAGGTGTCTTGCTCAGGGACACTTCGACATGGGACACGGAGCAGCCGGGGCTTGAACCGCCAACCTCGCGGTTCCCGGCGCTCCCTCTCTACACCTGCATTTAAAAAGCAAAATTGATCAAAAGTAGGGGATCTCACCCCTTAAAGGAGCTGTATTATGCGCTTATACTAAAAGTTGATATGGTTCTTAGTGGTCTGAGTGTGCCCTCAGCCATGGCGATGGTATTAGTGCAGGCCTTGCTGTTCTGTTTTGGAGAACTGAAAATGCAATTATCATGTCTGCTAGTCGGTGATGGGTCAGCTGCTTATTGTCGGGCCCGGAAAGAGAAAGCTCTACCTGCTGCTTTGCTCACGACAACAGGATTTATCGACAATTCATTTTAGCAAATGTGGGAAATGAGAGAAGCTCATGACCGTTATCTGTGGCTGTAGTGGGAGGTTGGAAGAGCACATGTTGTTGGTGTTTTCTGCTACCAGCACACCGCTGAGGTCAATGCAGCTGTCCAGGAGAGATTCAATTAGATTTTCAATTGATTTCATTTTGAATGGCCCAAAATTACAAATTAGCCTCAGAGGGCTTTACAGTCTGTACACCTAAAACATCCTTTGTCACGAAACCAGTGTTTCAGGGCCTCCAATAGTCCATACAGAGGTTGCCCTCCCCCGTATGGACTATTAAAGTGCTTTCCAGAGCCTTATCAAATACACATGGGGGGATCCTGGATTTAGTTTATAAAGACCAAACCTGTTTGGTATCCGGACAATTATTGACAACATAAACTCTGCAGACACCACTGATTCTTTGACTGAAGGACAACCATGTTTGGTCAAGACTGTGGCTTGTCTCACTCACTCACTCGTACAGCGAGGGAGAACACCGGGTCGTCTTATTGCAGGTCAACTCAGCTGTTGAGCCCTTGCTGTGCAGGTTGAGTGGTCAACTCTCACATATGCTCCTCACGTCTTGATCGTCCTCATATAGTATCTACTTATGCACCCCTCAAAAGGGCTGTTCATTGATTGCAGAGTGCTTCGTCCTTCATGAAAAGGCCTCGTCTGCGCATTGTGAGCTGGGATGGGGGTGACAGTGGAGGGATCGGGCCTGGTGGACTTGTGGACCGAGGGGCTGAAAGTTTCAGACCTTCATCCTGAGCTTTGTTTTGTTGCCAGGTTGAACGTCTTTTTGTTCAGCGCCCTCGTCTGGTCTGCACCGTTTGCTGTTAAAGACGCGGTTTCAGGGTCTTGGGAAGGTTTTTGTCAAAAAAACGACTTTAAAAACCCAAACCCTGTCCTCTTCCCTTCTCTTCCTCTCTTTTCATCTTCACCGGTCTGCCAGCTGCTGCTGCTGCTGCCGTCCTCCCTCTATCTGCATGTTGACCTTAACCCATGTCTCCTTGTTCTTGCTGCCGGGCAGGGGAACGCAGGATGGAGAAAAAGACGAGAGGTCTGTCCTTCTATGTGTGCACCGCCCTAAAAGATAAACTAAACTAAGGTGAATCCGGGTGGAGAGGAGACAAAGGGCAGATGCTTTGAAGTTGTATCTGAAGGAGACAGACGATTAGCGAGTCAATTTATGTTTCTGTCTTGTACGAAAAAACAGCATTAGGTTACGCGATGCATTGGAATAATATGTGTATACTATACATACTATGTGCATTTAATCCTTTTTAAGAGGACAAGGAGAAACTCCTAAGCTTTTTGACAAAAGTACAGGCGAAGCACGCTGTGTGTTCCTTCGATTTAGGGAAAGCTTTCTTCAGAATAAAACCATCACAACATTGAAACTGTAAATATTGAAGCTTCAAACACAAACTTAGTTAGAAAATATTGAAATACAATGGAAATTCTATTTTAATAAAATATCATAATACAAAACCCGTATTTAAACATCAAAATACAATTTAAATACTTTAAAGATGAAACAATCAAAACAAACAAGTGAATTTGCTAATTAAATCTTGTACCGTATTTTCTAAATATTTTACAGGAAATGTTTATCGATAAATTCTTTGCTTTTAAAACTGTCAAAGGATTTGATTATAATCCAGCTATGATTAATAATCAAGCACCAATTATGGTCTTAGCTCCACAGTTGCCCCAATGACCTCAAAATGATACAACAAATCTAAGAACTGCTACTCTCCTCTTCACATCATACGGCCCATTCACCATGTGTGTGCAAACACATGGGGGACACCCGAAGGTCCTGACTGGGCCTCTCTGAGACAAACGGGTCAGCTAACATTTCCTCACCCGTAGACCGAGTTGTGTTTTATTTTCCACCAAATGAATATTCCCTTTGTAGCTTTGGTCTTCACTTCCTGGGAAGTTATCCTTACTGGAGTCTGCTGCTCGGTTCCGGGCAGGTTCCCTACATTTGGTTTGATTAGACATGAATAGTCATTAACCCCTCATGTTGTAGATGAATGCAGCTTCAAGGCCTCGAATCTTTAAAACTGTATTTCACATTAAGAACCCTCCATCTCTAAAGAGATGAAAGCAGAGGATCCAGATGGGATCAAATACGGAGTCCCTAAACATTTCCTTACAGGTGGTTTTAAGGTAGATATTTTATGTATAGTAAGAAAGTGGCTCTGGTAATTATTTAGATTTAGATTTAATTTGTGGCAGAAATACAGTACATGAACATCCTCCCTGAACCCAATTTATTTTCGTTCTGTTGGTGAATTGTTGGTGACGCTTTTCATCCATTTGTTAATAATGATTCTTTGTGAATTAATCATTTGTTGTTTTATTATTTTGCTGCTGGCTGGCTAATGTGTTTTTTGTGTTTTACATTGACTGGAAATTCAGTTTTTGCTCAAGAGCAGAATATTAGAATAACAGAACTTCTGACTGCTGCTAAAAGTCAAACGGAGACTGACTGACTGACTGACTGACTGACTGACTGACTGTCTGTCTGTGCCGCAGGGAGAAGTGGTGTCACATGACCCAGGAGGAAAGGGACGACAGCTCCAAAATGGATGAGAACATCGCCTTCGGCCAGCTGGGGTGAGGAAGCTGCCACACGGATACAGCTTGTAGAAAAACACAACCACATTAGTTGAGAATACATTCTCAGACCGGATATCACATTATGGTGGACTGATTGATACTATTAATGCTACTTTAAATTATTTAAAAATGTTTAAACATGACTGAGTGCATGACTTAAGTGCATAAATAAAATATTATTATGTTATGTATAGATTTGTAAGTGAAGTTTGGGCTGATTTTGACCATTGCCATATTGGTTTCTGTTCAGTTTATGATGGAAATGTGTAAGTCTATTATGCAATGTAACAAATGACTGACAGAAATGGGGGACAGATTATTTTGCAAAATTCGAAAGGTTTCTAAACCGTGCAATTCACTGTCAATATGCTAAAGCCATATTATCGTTTTTTGTTTTTTTGACTCAAATTCTTACTTGACTGACGTTTATTAAATGATACTTGCAAGTACGAGCGGAGTGGAAACACAAATAAGTCATCCGCCAAGTTGCTGCTTAGAGGTCTGCGTCTCAGCCTCTGAATTATATGAGATCACACACTCACACACACACAAGTTGTGCGTTAAGGTGGAAAGTCTGCATCTAATACTCCGAAAGGTAAGGCATATACACACAAGTCCTGCATGAAGGCTTCTCCGCTGTGAGGCGAGAAGTGTGTGTGTGTGTCCTGTTGATAACATCAGCATCAACGCGTCTAAACATCGGCCCTCGTATAGATGAATCCTAAGTGAATAGATTGAGCAGAATATGAAGACAAGAATCAATGAGTAAGTGGCGTTAAATTGTTTATTATTGGCCCACGCTGTAAACCCTGGCTCTGCAAGCGCATGTCAATGTGCCCTTGAGCAAGACGCCTTTGCTGTATGTGAATGCTGGTTGCTGACGGGCAGGTGGTGCTGTGTATGGTAGTATGAATGGGTGAATGATCACATGTAGGGTTAAAGAGCTGTGGTCAGAAGACTAGAAAGGTGCTGTAAAAGTACCATTTATTGGTTTGGTTTTTGTTGTTGTAAATGGTTAATGACAAAATTCCCATTTGTACTAATTTGCATTGTGTTTTCAGGACATTCACTCACAACATGCTGGCGTTTGGGCTCAGTAAGAAGCTTTGCAATGACTTCCTGAAGAAGCAGGCAATCATTGGGAACCTGCATGAAGGTAACGCATTAAACACACACACACTCCTCTCAGCCCATTCGTTCATTTGATATGCTTCACACGACCTCGTAGCTCCCTGTTCAGCTGCCTGTTACGGATCCGTTTGTTTCCCCTTCGCAGAACAGTACAAGCTTCTGAGTGACCACATAGAGAAAATGGCGGCAGAGTGAGTTCGCCACGTTTCGAGGTCGCCATCAGACCGACATCAGCCATTTCTTCTCAATGGATGACGATGTGACTGACCGCCTGTTTGACTGCATTTGTGTGGTGCGCCGCTGAGAAACAACAACAACGACCAACTGCACTGTTCCATACTTGTAGCAAACCCCGTTTATCCAACGTGGTGGTGCTCCTCTGCACCGGGTCATGTGATCGGCACTAATAATACATCATCAGCTGGTGTCCGTGACCAGAGGCAGCTCCTCGGTGTGCCGTCACAAGATCTCCACGTGGTGCGTACGGGATCTACCCGTGATGCTGTTCTTCTCAGCAATCCCTTGGCGGCCGCATTTTATTCCATGTTGGCGAAGCCCGTTCCAACAGCGTCTGGTGAAAGACTGTCCTACGCATCAAACCGTGGTTCAAACCAGACTATGATGACTTGGGGGGCTTTATGTGTTATTTGGGAGATAAGCAGGCTGACTGAAAGATTTCTGTGATGCTGTAGTATCCTATTGGGCAATACAAAGCTCCAGACGTGTGTAACATAAGACATTATCTCTGGCATTTAACATTCAGAAGCAACATCCAGCCTCTTATTGCCCGAATTGGTTTTACAGGAATTCTCTTGAAGCTACAGCCAGGAGATATTTTGTTGGCTTTGCATAAAACCTTTTTAAACAGGGAAACTGCTAGACTGGCTCTACCCAAAGGTCTCCGAAAAGTTTGAACTAGTGAGCTTCAGTGGTGCGTGGCCTGGCCTACGCAGGCCCAGGGGCCCTCAGGGCCCCTCGAAAGGACCATTGAGAAACATCCAGTAACAATGAAAGGAGCCTTAACTGTTGCTGAGGCCAAACAACCATACAGTGTGTTGCTCCAGTCGCGCGTACGGCCATGTTTTTAGGTGCACATCCTACCGCTGCCGACTCTTGCTTCCAGTCTTTAATGCTGCTCGTTCTTCTCGTTCTCTCTGAAAGAACAAAAAGCCGTCTTCTGTCAATCACATTTACTCACGGCACGCGTTCAAAGTGTAGCGCCGATCCTGTTTATGTTCTTCAATCAGACTTCGGGAATCGAAATATTTATCCGTCCCAAGTGCCTGCGGAACTCTCTATTGACCCGCCGAACACTAATAATGGAGAGTCTGATCATTCTCACTCGTTCCCTGCATGAAGGGAGAACAATAACGTTGGCACGGGAATGCCGTCCATAGTCTTGTGTTTTCAGACGCCTTGATAGCGGTAGTATTTTCCTTTTTAGTGGAGCTGCAACGCCAGATGCATAGCTGACACGGTTCCTATCCTGCTGCATGTATATATCCATGTAGCGTGTGCGAAATGCATCCGGCTAAAGTGAAATGAGTGATGTCCTCATTGTGTTACTTCCCCCGGCCGCTGGGGGGAGCCTCGCGTTATCGTTCAAAGGGCTGAGAGACGTCAAACCGTCCTGTTTAGCTTTAATCTAGAACCTTGATTAATGAGGCTTTTTCAACGGGGGGACTTCTACACACGAATGCTGGGACGGTGCACTTTCTGGCAGGTGGAATCCAATTTAAGTTCCATAATGTATTTGAATGTGTTGTGGTTTCACCTTGTAAATACTGTACGTATTCCTCTGTGTTGTAGGACTTGATTATGTGCCGCTGCTTTTTTTGACTGTCATATCCATGAGGAACATAAAGGTCTGACGATACGTCCTCTCGGGTGTCCCTTCGTGGTAAGCTTTACCTGATGTGACCCATGACCTTGTTGCCACTGTAAAACGTTGAATATGCTCCTGGGTTGATTAAAGTATTGACCTGTGTATCGTACATGTACTACATTTAGTCTCAGAAACTCTGCACTGCAATCTCCTGAATCATGTTCTAGTGATGCCTTTTATATTTGTTCTGCGTGGATGGTGCACGCTCTGTCTCCAGCACCTCTGTTGGTAGATGTTCTCCATATCCTGGATGAAAAGACCACGTCATTAATAAAGGACACAGAGTCCTTCATAATTGTTACTCAGTATTGTTACTCTATTGTTCCGTGGAAGCCAAATTGACCAAAAACCAACTGAGATCAGCTACTGATGGTTAAACGTTTAGCGCCGTGGGCGTTTCTCACGGAGGGGCTCACTCCCACTTCTCTAGTGATGGAGTTGTCATCCTTAGCCAAATGCCACAAATATGTAATTGCCAAAAATGTGTAACACAAGTTGCTGAAATGTCATGAATGCATTTCACTTTTTGGGAAGTTTCTTGGATCTGTGTTACAGGCATACCTAAAATAGGCATTCGAATTGTGTTTTTCTGACGTTATGGAAGAGAATGTATGAAATCATATCAACAAAAGACGTGTGTGTGTGTAATAGTGCTATACTATTATGAAGCAATGTTACTATATTGATTATTGATCCTTGGAAGATGATTTTTCAGCAGCAAAGACCGAAGAAAACCCTTTAAATAAACTGCCTACCTATGCCTTGATGCGTGCGTGTCTGCCTGTGTGCGTGTGTACATGTCTGAGTGGATGTGAGCCTGTGATTGGGCGTCTTTGTACCAGTCCAATGTGCTGCCCACACTCCGCCATGTCCAAACAAACAGCGGTCACACTTGCTGCTCTCGGATTGGACGGCAGCTAATGAGCTGTGAAAGGCCAGTCAGCAGTGTCACACCATGAGCACCCTCCTCCACGTAATCAGTACCAGACCTCAACACAACCACACACACAACACAGCTGTGCAACATGGTGGTCACTGGCGTGCGTGCCTGAGCGCTTCTGAGGTGAAAACCGTAAAGGAGGGCAAATTAAATGACAAATTAATATGTCTATGGTTAAATTGGTTTCCAGGCAAAAAAATAAATAAACAAATGAACAAATAAGATAATCATTTTCAATACCAGTAGGATGGCTGGTGTCACATTAGGGGGTCGACATGACGCTAGTGCCCCGGCTGCTCCATGTTCCATGTCGAAGTGTCCCTGAGCAAGGCACCTAACCCCTAATTGCTCCCCGGGCGAAAATGTAAAAGCCGTGGGTTAAAAATGCAATGTTAGTCGCTTTGGATGATAGCGTCTGCTAAATGACCTGTAATGTAATATTTGCAGAAAACCTTGTAAAAGATAACCCAAGATGGTGTGCTGCTCTGTTGCATTGGTGGGGGGGGGGAATCCAACAAGTTTTTCCACTGTGCGATATGTTTGTTATTCCTTGATTTCCAGGTCACAAGGATAATTTTCTTTGTGATAGTTAGGGCCAGGAGGAGTAATCTTTTGGTTTGTTTTGCACAGGTTTGTTGTTGAGAGGTCTCCTAGTGAGTGCGAGACATAATGGGACGAGGCCGCCCAGGAAAACCGATAATGACCCAGTTATTTTTACCCAAAAGTGTTGAACTGGTGTGGAGTGCCAAGTGGCATGAATGTAGCTATCTGGACTATTTTGGTGCAGTGTGCATAAATCATAAACTGTATTGATTGCAAATTTGCATTTCTAGACTCATGAAGCAGATGTCATTGCAGAGTTGAGTCCAAAAGTCAGGATGGTGCATATGTCTCACTCCCATTTTCTTGATGGTAAGGATGCTGTGGTCATTAAAGCTGGTGGTGCAAGGTAATAGGAGCAATATTTTTGTGATTTTGTGGCCCTGTACTGTACTCTTCGGGAGTATAGTGGAGTGATGTTTAGAGTGAAAAGTTCTAACAACCTTGAGGAAATATAGTATTCCTAAATACATGATGGCACCAGTGCAAAAAGGGAGAGGTGGTGTATTGGCTGCCCCATCCCAACTATTACGGTCTTAATGCAGGGATTTCCAGTATGGTGCGGGCACCCCTTGGGGTGCGCGAGAGGAAACATGTAATGGTGGTCAAATGGAGTAATCATTCAAAGATTCAGGCACATTTAATTTAAACATCATAATCGGTATGAGTGAGATCCTCTGTCTTAGTACCCTACCCCAAAAGAAAAAAACTTTTGCCACTCTCACTATCAGAATAGACCAGATTTGACAGATGTTCTGTGTACAGAATGAACAATATGATCAATGCACATGACAAGTTATACAAGTATTGGTAGTGGTAAGCGGAATAATATTGGACAAATTCCAATAGCAGCAGTGGATATAGTAGATTAAGCTGGATAACTCATTTGAAAGCCTGGTTTTCAGTCTTTCGCAACCAACCTGCCGGTTCTCTTTGTAACAGTTTACAGGGCCCAAGGTCCTTATTGGACCTTAAAACTGACACGGTAATTATAGTGGGTGATTTTAACATTCATGTGGATGTCGACAACGACAGCCTTGGTACTGCATTCCTTTCATTGTTAGATTCAATTGGTTTCTGACAGAGTGTAAATAAACCAACTCACTGTTTTAACCACACCCTCGACTTGGTTCTTGTGTATGGTATTGGGATAGAACATTTAGCAATCTTTCCACAGAACCCTTTCTTGTCGGACCATTATCTGATAACCTTTGAATTTCTACTACCGGAATCTCCTCGTCCTGCCATGGGTTTCTACAGTCGATGCTGCTACAGGCTCTTTGAGAGTGGCGCTGGACGCTATTGCTCCTTTGGAAAGAAGAATGGCTACAAGAAGGAAGTTTGCTCCTTGGTATGACCCTCAAACCCGGGAACTTAAAGCAAACTGTGAGGAAACTTGAACGGTTATGGCGTTCCAACAAATCAGGCTCTCCGTAACGCGAGAGCATCTTTTTACTCATCATTAATAGAGAAAAATAAAAACAACTCCAGGTTCCTCTTCAGCGCTGTAGCCAGACTGACAAAGAGACACAGCTTTGTCGAGTCGTGTGTTCCTTTGGACCTCAACGATTTAGTGAATTTCTTTAATGATAAGATTCTGACTATGAAAGAGAAAATTGATGGTCTCCTGCCTTCAACCAGTGCCGACCCATTCTCGGATTTAAGAATCTTGGATGCAGCAGTGGGCCCTGATACCTACTTGGATGGCTTCTTGTTCATCAACCTTGATCAACTGACTTATACAATTTCGAAGTCTAAATCTTCTACTTTCGACTCCGACTCCGATGCTTAATGAAGTTTTTCCTTTAGTTAGCACGTCGTTACTCAATATTATGAATCTGTCTTTGTTGACAGGACACGTACCACAGTCCTTTAAGGTAGCTGTAATTAAACCCCTGACTCCTGCCGTGGCCCTGCGGACACCTGCTGCTGCCATCATCATCATTATTTTAAATATTCATCATATTACTATTACTGTCATCATAAACCAACATGACCCTTTCCTAAAGTCTCTGTGCTCTCCCTCCCTACAGGCTTCTGCGGTGGTTCTATCTGATGGTGGTTGTCTCTGCAGTGGTCCTGCTGTACACCTACCTTACTACTCACAGTTATTTGAATCATTTCTCTTATAGGAATTTAATGTATTGTACATATTTTCCATTGTTCATTCTGTACACATGACATCTATTGTAGTCTGTCCAGGGAGAGGAATCTCCCCCCTGACCTTCTCCCTAAGGTTTCTTTCCCTTTTTTCCCCGCGGAAGGGTTTTCATTTTTTGGGGAGTTTTTCCTTTGCCGTTCGGGACAGAGGATGTCGCATGTGTACAGACTGTAAAGCCCTCTGAGGCAAGTTAAAAAATAAAATGAATTGCATTAGATTAAGAATGATAACCAAGGTAAGTAATGGTGTCAGCAATAATAATGTGACTACTACAAATCATGTTACTAGCAGTGGATGTCGGGCAGGACCACTGCAGGAACAACCATCATCAGATGCAACCACCATCAGATATAATCATCATCAGATATAACCAGAAGAATCAAAGTCAGCAACGTCGGTTTATGGTGACAGTAATAGTCATGTGACCGATAATAATGATAGTAGCAGCAGGTGTCAGCTAGCCCGCGGCAGGAGGCAGGACCAGGGTCCAGAACGGAACTACAATCTACGGAGACCTGCGAGGCGAGAAAGCACAAAAAAGTCCAGGAAAGCAGCACAAAGACACTGTGGACGAAGCAGAGTTAGTGATGTGCATCAAAGGGAGATGGAGTCATACAGAAGGAGAGAGGCCTCTTTATTCGTAGTGGCAAGGGACATTTGTGCACGCACAAACATACACAAAGTCAATGATATTTGTGGCAGAGCTGCTGAGAGCCCCACACATGGGCTTCAGCGATGTGTTTTACAGTAGACACACATTGCCATTCTACAAGCCTCTTTACTTACAAATGCGTTCACAGTCACAATAACACATTAATTTGCATACGACTGCCGCTGTGCAGTATACGTGAAGTGGTTTGTTTTGCTTGGACGTCCAAATGAAGTGTGTGTGTGTTTGCATATGTGTGTCCCGTTGCAACATAATTCTTACGCATAGTGTGTGTGCGTGTGTTTCGGTAGGGGGGGGCGCACCTCAGCGAGATGGTGATGCAGCTCCACTTCCTCCTGGATTAAGTGTTAAAGTCAGAGTCAGGGTGGTCCCAGTCTGGGGGTGGTAATCCCGCTGCTGTGTACAAGTCCTCCTGCCAGTATCCGTATATACACACACACACACACACATATATACATATACACACAAGCCTCATGGGACCGTGGGTATTTATTTACAGTTCATGAAAGCAAAGCTGTAGAAATGTTGAAAAGTTTGAGGGGAGAAGGATTTTTCGTTAGTAAAGCCCTGAATGACGCCATCGTCTGAAGGGTTTGAAACACTGTCTGCAGCCAACGCATGTTTATCATGAAATAAACTACTTGCATAACTAGTGTATCAACTATGCAGAACAAAAGGTGCGAAAATACTACTAATATACTGATTTTTCTTTTCTTCATAATCTTAAAAGAAGGGTCACAAGCTTCAAAACACTTAAAAGTGAATGATAAAATACAACTTGAAAAACATGCCAGTTCTAATTATGATCGGTTGTGTCATTGATCTGCAAGCATGTGACGAAATGATTTAAACTGTTTTGTGTTCACTGTCCTCCAATGGCCTCCGAAATCACCACAACTCAATCCAATAGAGCACCTTTGGCATGTGGTGGAACGGGACACACGCACCATAGATGTGCAGCCGACAAATCTGCGGCAATATTGACATGCTATCATGTCAATGTGGACCAAGATCTCTGAGGAATGTTCCCTACACCTAATGTACCTGATACCTAATGAAGTTGATCTTTCTTACTCAACTAACGTTGGCTCAGATTTGTGTGTATAAACTGGCGATGTGGTCTGAGGTAGCGGCCATAGTGTCCGCTGATCCCTGGATGCACATCAACATGAGCTGTAACCTCTTCAACCAGAGACTGAAGAAGTAAGAAACAAGGAAACGTTACAGATAAGTCCAAGAAAGTGAACTCATTTATGTTGGACAGAAGCTTTTGTGGGGCAGAGTCTGGTTGTCAGGGAGATTCAGCTACCTGTCTAGACTATAGACTGGTGGCAGTCAGCCAGCCTTCCTCCCTCCCCTCGCTTTCTGCATGTTTGTTTTTCAGTTCCTCCTTTT